GATAATACTTATAAATATAAAGAGGTATATCCTCTTTTAATATATAGTACTATATTAAATACTAAAGAACCGCTAGATAATATAGGACTAAACCCTATAAGTAGAAAAGTGGACTTTATTCTTAATAGTGCTACTACTATTAGTACTATATACAAATTGGAATACTATTCTTATTATAAACCTACTACTACCTTAGTAAAGTGGGGTAAGGCTAATATAACTAAAGCAACTTATAAAGGTAATATATATATAAAATCTAATACTAGTTATATATACTTATTAAAGGACATATATTATATACCTAATTTAGGTATAAATTTAATAAGTATTTACTAATTATATGATTTAATAGCTTTATTTATAAAAAATAAAGCCTATCTATATACACTATTAAAGAAAATAGTTACTATTAGTAATAAGATAGACAACCTCTATTATATAAATACTACTATATTAAAGAAAACTATTAATACCAAAGTAAATGCTAAGACTAATCACTTTAGTATAACTACTAAAAGTGATAATAGTTATATTTTAGATAAAACTATTAAAAATAGTATTATTAATACTATTAAATTGTGGTATATAAGATTAGGGTATATTAATATATAAACCCTAAGAATACTCCTATTAAAACTCCTAGGGATAAAAATATCTCTAGAAGTAATTAAGGCTTTTCTTAAAGAAAAATGTAAGGTATATCTATTATCTAAAGATAATAGAAATATCTATAGGAAGTTAGATAATCCTACTAAGTATAAAATCTTAGATAGGATATATAGTGATTTAGGTAGACCTTTACTACCTACCTATAATAAATATAGGTATTATATCACCTTTCTAGATAAAAAATCTAGATATCTATAGATAACCTTACTATATAATAAAGATAATACGTATAAAGTATTTGAAAACTATAAAGCCTTAATAGAAAATATTACTAATAGGAGAATTAAAGAACTTTTTACTAATAATAGTAGAGAGTATATAAATAAGCAATTTAAATTAGCCCTAACTAAGTATAGTATTAACTATATAACTACTCCTAGTTATACTAAGGAGCCTAATAGGCTAATAGAAAGAATAAATCTTACTTTATTTAATAGAGTAAGAGTATTACTTATACAATTAAAAAGCCCTAGCTATTTATAAGGAGAAGTACTATAGGCTACTACCTATATTTATAATAGGTCTCCGTATAAAGTATTAGGGTATAAAACACCCTTTAAAGTGTTTTATAATAAAAGACCTAATATATAAAATATTAAGGTCTAGAGCTCTTTAGCCTATTATTATATAAATAGGTATAAAACTAAGCTATCTCTTAGAAAGGAAGAAGCTATAGTTATAGGCTATAGTGATTATAAACACTATAAGCTATAGGACTATAAAAGGCAAATAAGCCTATAGTCTAGGGATATTATAATATATAAGAATAAATTTCTAGAGAGACTACCTAGAAATATAAATCCCTATTATAAAAATAGTCCCTATAAAGAAACTGAACTTATAAACTCGGAGAAAGTTAATATAGATCCTATATCTATATCTCCTAATAAAGAAGATAATAAGATATTAACTAGAGCTAAGAACTCTAGAAGAATTGCCGCTAATCCTAATCATAGGATAGAAGTGCAAATACCTAAATTATATTCTATAAAGGATACTATATTAACTAACTATATTAGCTTAATTAAGACTAATATAGATAGTAGGTTCTTATTAACTACCTTAATACTATTAGAACCTAATAGCTATTAAGAAGCTATTAATAGTCCGGAAAAGGACGAATAGTTAAAGGCTTACTACACTAAGGTAGAAGAATTAGAAAAATAAGGAACCTATAAGATAATAAATATACTACTTAATATAAACCCTATTAAGGGTAAATAGGTTTTTAAGAAGAAACCTATAAATAATCCTAATCCGGATAAGGATTATATAACTAATAGTAATAAAACTATTAGATATAAAGCTAGGTAGGTAATTTAAGGATTTCACTAAAAACTAGGGGTTGATTTCCTAGAGACCTTTTCTACTATATATAGAACTAAGTCCTAGTATCTATTATTAATAATAGCTGTTAATAAAGGCTGATACGTGCTATAATATGATATTAAAAATGCCTTTATATATACTAATATAGATGCCGATATATATACTATCCTACCTATAGGAGTATATAAAGATAACCCTAAAAAGTGCTGCTATTTAAAGAAAGCACTATATGGTCTAAAACAGAGTCCTAGACTCTAGTATAAATATCTATCTGAAATATTAGCCAAATTTGACTTTAGAGTATTCCCCTATAATAAGGGAGTTTATATAAACTCTAAAGATTAGTGTATACTTATATATCACGTTAATAATATATTAGTTATATATAAAGATTTAGGCTATATAAGAAATATAGTAGCTAAAATCAGCTACTATATAAAGATAGAAGAAATTGGTATAATATTAATGTTCTTAGGTAATAATATTAAAATCAATTACTAGACAAAAACACTATATATAGACTAAAAGGGTTATATAGAGAAACTATTAAATAAGTTCTCTATATTAAATAATCCTAGTTATAAGCCTATTAAAATACTAGAAGAGCCGGGGCTAAAATTAAAGAAAAATAACACTAGTATAAGCCCTAGTGATATTAATAACTATTAGAAATAAGTAGGGTCTTTACTCTATTTAGCCTTAAAAACTAGGCCTAATATAACCTTTACTACTATATACTATACTAGATATATAAGTAATCCTAGTAAGGAGCATTTTATAGCCCTTAATAGGATATAGAAATATATACTAGTATATCCTAAATTAGGATTAGTATATAAGTGCTTAGGAGAAGACCTATATATAAAAGGCTATTCTGATTCTAATTAGGGTAATAATATAGATTAACAAAAATCTATATTAGGCTATATATTTAGCCTAAGCCCCTCTATAGGATTAAATAATCCTATTAGCTAGAATTCTTAACTATAAAAAACTATAGCACTTAGTAGCTATAAAGCTAAATATATAGCTCTAAAAGAAGCTACTAAAGAAGCTATATATCTAGCTAATATATTTAATTATTTAAATAAAGAGCTAGAATTAGGGTATATAGCTAGTATACCTACTATCTTAGTTAATAATAATTCAGCTAAGAAATTAGCTAAGAATCTAGAATTTTATAAGAAATTAAAATATATTAAAATTATATACCATTTTATAAGGCAAGCTATATTAGAAGGAAAGGTTAATATAACCTAAATACCTTCTAAATATATACTAGCTGACTTTTTAACTAAAAATGTTAATAATACCTTATATAAGTCTTATATAGATCTAGCTTAGCTAGATGATATATAAAGACTAAAAAGAGCTATAAAGCACTCTTTTCTATATGTGATATTTTATCCTAAAAAGGTTTTAATTATATATTAGTTTTTAATAAGACTTTATAGCTATATACACTATATACTATAATCCTTATAAAGATTATAAGGATTACGGGGGTATGTTAGTATAATAGTGTATATACTATATTAGTAAGGTATACTATAGAGGGAAGAAAAAACTATATTTATCTTACCGGTACTATCTAAGGCTACCCTAGATATATACTATATGGTAAGATTAATAATATAGAGAACCTCCTAGTATAATAATGAGATAATAAAGATATCATGAAGATATCATAGATTATCTCAGATTTGCCTCCTAAAAGGGGTTATAAAAGTATGCCTGATTTCTATCTCTGATGAAATGTAACTAACTTCTTAATTTATTCTGATCTCTATTACAACCCTATTTCCTATCTAGGATAAGTATAACCCTACTAATATATCTTATATAATCCTATTATATAAGATTATATAAGATAGGATTCCTCTAATAAGTTATAGTCTATATTAGACTATAATATATTATCTGCTAAATTGCTCACAGTCTTTAATATATTATATACTATTAACTAGTTATAGTTAGGTTAGAAGGGTTCCGGGTATACTTACCTTATACCGCTCGGGTTTCTAACGTTAACGATCTATACTCTTAACCGTACTATTACCTAATAGGCCTTACTATAGACTAGGTCCTTTCGAGGTATCGAGGAACGGTACTAGGTAGAGCGCCGAATAGATCTATACTAGGGTATTAGTCTATTTATAAGTGTTATTAAGTTATAATTAAGTAAAAGAGTTATTAGTAATCTAAAAGGTAGATATAAGTAATAATATATGATTGAAGACGAAGAACTAAACTAAGTATATAAATAAGTGTCCTTATATATTCTTTATTTCCTACTCCTAGCGTGACTCTCTAGAGTTACCGCTAGAGTCGCTATATACTCCTACGTATACTTCTTAAAGTCGATGTGGGAGTTACGGTCATATGTCCCTAGTTCTATATATAGTGGTTCCTAGTATAGGTAATATCCGATACCTTAAAGTATATACGTACCGGAAACCTTCTAGTAGTAAGTCTGATTAGGCTTCATTATACTTTTACTCACTGAGCGTGAATGGGTTTCTCTTTCCTAAATATCTAGGGATACTAGGGTATTAGGTACTGCACGTGATCTGCTGATAGATAGATTGGTTGGCTCTCGGTGGCCTATCTATGCACCCGTGGGGGTACCATCGATTGGTGACGGGTAGTTCCGTAACATGAAATAAGTGTGTATTAGAGAGAGTAGCTAGGTATTCGACTATTTAATATATTAGGGGCTTATAAAGTAGCGCTAAGCTTAATAAGTGACTTCCTAAGGCTAGTAAGTGATATTTAAGGTAGCTACTATCTATAAAGTGTAAATATATAAAAGATAGAATAGAAAGGTATATTTCCGGCTAATATATCCCTTTAAGAGTTACTCGATAGGCGCTCAGACTAAGAAGTTTCTTTATATAGCCTATTTATTAATTAAGTTTTTAATATTAACTAAGCCGAGCGAGTTAACAAATATTTTATAAGTTTATAATAGAAAAAGCTTTATAAGACTATATATTAGTATATTAGTAGTAGTAGTAGTAGTAGTAGTAGTAGTAGTAGTAGTAGTAGTAGTAGTAGTAGTAGTAGTAGTAGTAGTAGTAGTAGTAGTAGTAGTAGTAGTAGTAGTAGTAGTAGTAGTAGTAGTAGTAGTAGTAGTAGTAGTAGTAGTAGTAGTAGTAGTAGTAGTAGTAGTAGTAGTAATCTATTAAATTAAAGACGAACCCTCGGGGGTGTTCAACCACCCCCATCAATAATCAATCAACCATCAGATTCTATTGGACATCTTCAGTACTAGCTAGTACATCGATTCCTTACCCCGACATAAAAGAGTAGAGAGTACCATTATACTCAGAATAGGCCAAAGAATCCAGAGAAATGGAAATCACTATTTACCCTGTATTCCCTATATAGAGTCTAATCTGAGAATCTTCGACTACAACACTAACCTGTCTGGGAGTTTTCGACCATATGGATATACGCCAATACCTTTTGTGAATTTCGGAGGACGATAATCTTCAAAGTTGAATATCTTCGTTAGGAGGTAGGATAAAAATAGTTATTAGAGTGATCTCTTCTTCCTCTATCTTCTATGAAAAGCAAGGGCTAGAATAACAGGTTTTGAACGATACCTAACAGTTCCAATTTGCCTTACAAAGCTTGAGTAAGTCGAAGCCCACCCCAACGTCTTGTATCCATTGCTTCCGTCACCACCCCCGAGCCGTCGAAGTATGCCTGTTGACTACTGAAACTAGGAAAGAGCTGATTGTTGAGGCTGACTGGCATCATGGCTGATGACTGCAAAATGCTAATGGTATGGCGTCCGTGGAACGTTCGTCGGTTGCTGCCTGGATTCTTGCTGCCGCTCATGTCCGCACAATGCACATTGTTGAGGATTTTGACGTGGCTCATTCGAGTCTCTGATAGACGTCAGTTGATAATTCTCGACTTGACCATAGTTTCTTGGGAGCACCGACTTACTGAAGAAGCTTCTTCGCGACGAAGTAGCCAACAGTGCCGAACAGACCGATCTTGAGAAGCGCCATCCCTCTTCTGGGTCCGTATGCTCGCAACGGAAAGTTGGCTCGAGCAAAGACTTGTCTGGCTTGAAATCGACTGGATCGGCGAGTAGGATAGTCCATAATTTGTTGTTGAATGATTCCTTAAAACCTCGCAGGTGGACGACGAATGTTTATAGGTACAAACATCCAAGACGAGTCCGGAACTCCGAGGCCGATCGGGGTCGGCTTTCCTTTTGAATAGCTCGGCCGCGGACTCGGCCTCGGGTGTGCAGCAGCGCCTTTGCGTACATCACCAACGAACAGCATCGGACGTCCGATCTTTTACTCGACGTCGGGCATTGCTAGCGACAGCATGTATGTCCGACCTCCTTTCATACGCAGGATTTGGCCTCATGCCAGAGGTATATAGCACTGGCCATATTCTTTAGAATCGGACTCGTTATTCCTGTCGACGTCACAAGCACAACTATCTTTTGCGCGCCCTATCAAGCACCCCATAGCAACTATGCACGACGACCGCACTGCTGAGCTCGAAAAGGGCAGTCCAACCTCTTCAAGACAATCGAGTCCAACGGAACCCAAGCCTCAAGCATCTGGCCCACCAGCAGCACCTGAAGGAGGCACAAAAGCCTTCCTATCGCTACTCGGAGGCTCCTTGGGTCTTTTCATCTCATTTGGATGGGTCAATTGCATTGCTCTGTTCCAAGCTGAATATGAGACCAACCAGTTGAAGACCTATAGCAGTTCGGAGGTGTCCTGGATCACTTCGTCCGAATGTGAGAGCCTTCTTCCCCAACCGGCCGTGAAACAACAAGCTCATTTCAATCTAGTTTTCTTCATGCTGTTCATGTCACCGTTATCTGGATATCTATTTGACAACTATGGACCACGATTGCCGATCTGTATCGGTGGATTGATGCACGTGTTTGGCCTCATGATGACCAGCTTGTCAAGCAAATACTACCAATTCTACTTGGCACAGTCGATTTGCTCAGGAATCGGCACATCGCTCATTTTCACTCCGGCAATGACTTCGGTTTGTGTGATCACTCTTGGAACTTATCGCGCATTTTCTGACAAGCTTCACAGCCTATGACTTACTTCCGAAAGCGCCGCGCTTTGGCAGGAGGATTGACCGTTGCAGGCTCGAGTCTGGGTGGTGTAATCTTTCCCCTCATGGTCAACAACCTCCTTTCGGAGGTCGGCTTTGCATGGACGATGCGAATCTGCGCTTTCTTGATCCTTGGGCTCTGGGCTATTGCCATGCTCACCATCTCCTCCAACTTGCCTCACACTCGCAAGGAATTCAACCTTGCGAACTACCTTTGGCCTTTCACGGAATTCAACTTCTTGATCTTGTTGACGTTCTGCTTTTTCCTTTACTGTGAGCCGCCTATCATTATGTTTCATCGCAACACAGCTAACCGGAGTTTAGGGGGGATTGTTTGTCCCTTTCGACTACCTTGTCCTGTCTGCTATGCATAACGGAATGTCAATGACTATGGCCTACAATCTGATTCCCATCATGAACGGAGCGAGCTTTTTTGGACGTACGATTCCCAATGGACTTGCCGACAAGTACGGCCGTTTCAATGTGCTTATCATCATGCTCCTTTTCACTGGTGTCATCACTCTGGGCTTATGGTTGCCTGGTCGCAGTAACGCGGCCAACATTGTCTTCGCCGCTTTGTTTGGTATCGGATCTGGCACCACCATTGGCTTGACACCGCCCCTTGTGATGACTCTCTACCCACCTCAGGAGATCGGGTTTCGAATCGGGTTAGCTCTTGCTACCGCAGGTATTGGTACCCTTACGAGCCCTCCGATTGCTGGTGCAATTGCAGAGACAAGGGGAGGCTCTTTCCGCTTTGCGGCCTTGTTCAGTAGCGTGAACTTCATGGTCGCGACAATCTTTTTGGTGTGGCTGAGGGGTAGAGTTTCTGGTTGGAATCCCCTCACAAAAGCTTGATGCCTAGATAAGGGCACTAAGCGCGGCAGCCTGCTGCAATTATAACATCTGGTGAAGAAGAGGAGACTGGCGTGGACGCAGAGAAACATAAATCGGCACACGCGTGATATGAACACGATCTTATGGCGGGATGGCAGAATCCCTTCTGTGTAAATATCGAGATTTTAGTCATACATTTGGATCAATCAACACGTAACTAACTTATTATCAGCGTAACTATCATGAATACTACAGTGTGAAGAGGGGAACGCTCGTTGGCTGTACGCTCTGACGACGCACGAATCGGATATACTCAGCAAAACCCACCACGACCGAAGGTCGCCCTCGGAGAGTAGTGGATCCCTCGACAAAGGTCAAGAGTGAGAGATGTGTGTCAGTGTGTATTCTCTAGCTAGTGCCAAACCCGTATTAATATGACCTTATCCGAGCAACCCGACCGACATTACATTCAGCTATGGTTGCGTTAAGGTCCCGAATTTAAGTCCGAGATTCGAGAGTAGAGTATCGGGGATGATATTTGACCATAAGTACCCCACGGAGCTGTACTCACTTCATCGAAAGAGACCTCCGAGTCGACAACTACAATGCAGACGATGTGACCGCCGAGAAGACAGTCGCACGGGTCCTTGGCGGTATGGGCTCACCCTACCCGATTTCTATTGATGAAGTCACTGCAACCTCCATCTTCACGCCGACAGTAGCTCTCGCCGAAACGTGGAGCGGAAATCATCAGCGCGTCTTCCTTGCCGGAGATGCTTGTCATCAGACAATTCCTTCGGGCGGCTACGGAATGAATATGAGCCTTGCTGATGCTTGGGATCTTGGCTGGACGCTCGCAGCTACTGTTCAAGGCTGGGGTGGCACTCACTTGATGAAGACATACGAACAGGAACGTCGTCCTGTGGCAGCGCTGATGCAACACTGGAGCAAAATCCACATGATGAAACTCATGGGGCTTTCAACAGCTGTTAAATTGGATCCGGTCATGATCGAATCCATGGATGAGCGCGGCATAGCCCTGCGTGAGGAAATCGATCAGTACATTCAGCAAAACGATGACCATAACCAGAGCGCGGGTACCGCACGTGGCTTTGTCGGACGGTAGCGCCATTTCCGATGGATTCGGGAAAGGCTTCACCATGGTCGCGTTTCTGCAGAAAGAAGCAATAGCAGCCGGAGACCAATTTCAGGTGCCCATCGCACTGGCCAGTTTTGAAGAAGCAGCACGCCAGCACAGTATTCCTTTAAAGAGCCTTTGTTTGATGAATGGGACTCATGCGTTCCGAATTTGGGATGCTTATCTTGTCCTCGTGCGGCCTGATGGATTTTCAGCGTGGCGCTCAGATAGTCTGGACAAGGTGCACAATGCATCACAAGTGTTGCTTCAAGCAACAGGCCATACTTCACCTTTGTAAGCAGACCCTTCCGAGACAGAGACGATCGAACATAGAACAGAACGGAAAGAATTAACCTCAATTAATCACGATCTTCATTTCGCAACGTAAATCGTCGTGTGAACTTGCTCTATCAAATAGTTGGAACCAAAAAGGCCGAAAAGTCCAGGTAGTTGGAGTCCTGACTTCAGTCAGTAGTGCTAAGTAAGAGGCGCATATTTGGTGATTTGTACTCACTATTGCGCCAAAATCCAGGCCGTCAAGAAGCCCATTATCGATCACGTCTTGCGACACTTCTCTGGGAGTGTTGGCGGCCCTATAGGACTGTAGTACATCGTAACACTCCTTCAGGCTGGCTTTTGCAGTGTTCAGCACAGCAGACAAAACGGGTTGGCCGCGTTCCATGGCGTATATCTGGGAAAGAATGCCAGCAAGAAAGATGTAGCGTTTCAACGTAGGATGGCCCAACTTTACGATCTGTAGTAATTGTTCGCTGATGTGTTCCAAAAGTCGAATGATGGGCGCTCGCTGGCCGCGCGCCAGTTCAGCGAGAGGATCAAGGACCAATGTCTGGTTGAGACCAATCGAAGCAGATGACGGACCGGAACCCGTTTCCTCCAGCTGAGACACAACCTCCAAGCCCAAGACTGAAATTACGTCCAGGCTCAAAGGTCCGCGAAATGACCCTGTGCTCATCACCATCAACTTGGACAGATCATCAAGAGAGTCTGCAGGTAGCCGAAGTCGCTCGGCATAAGTGGCGATAATCATTGCAGACTCCTGACAAACCCTCCGGGAAAAATAGAAGCGGGGATCCTTTTGCGCTTGTAGCATGAAAGGCCGATGCAGAACCAGAATATACCGACGAATCTGCATATCAAGGAAAGCGTGATGCATGCTTAGGAATTGCGACCAATGCGACCGACAATAGCTTGCAAGAGTACGGCAAACTGTCTGAAGTTTCGTAGCTAGCTCAATGGCCATTTCGTATGAGTGCTCTAATCGCTCGTTTTGGACCGCCCTGACAACTTCAAGTCGTATCGGCAGGGACTGACGCATGAGAATTTGTATCGACGATTCCGTATAGCTTGTCAACGGTTGTGGAGATGGAGACTGTTTGCTGGCTGGATCTAAATCAGCATCGCTGACATTAAGAGGCATATGATCGTCAAAGTCTTTTGAAGAAAGAAGCAAAGGGATGGAACAGTCCATGGAACCATGGATTACGAGCTCTAGGACTGTTGTCCAAAGGCTCCTTCGTATCCCGGCTTGAAAAGGAGACAGAGAAAACAGTTGTGGATCTCGGTGCAGGCCCATAGCCATAGCCGCCCGAAGTAGACCACTTTCCGACAGCCACGGTGAACGGCCGACTAATGTTATCTGCCGCGAAACCAATAGAAGACAGAAAATTTGAATTCCATCAAGATTGTTGGTAGTTTTCTCTGACGGTCCAACCATCCAGTATTGAGCAGCTTGTATCCAAGTATGCCGCGAGCGCTGTAGAACTTTGTCGTCGTCGTTGCTGAAGACGCTTCCAATGGCCAACACCAAACCCAACTTGATTGCAAAGTTTGTAACTACAGGCTGCGGCTGGCTGAAGTATTGTTCGTATTCTGCCCAGAATGTGGGAATGTGAAAACAACGATAGATCAACTCGAAAGTCCGCAGGTAGTGATTCACTAGTCGGTCACAGATGGAACGTGCCGGCATTGTACTCAGAAGTTGAGGAACAGGGTCATCCATCTGCGGTGCCTGCTCATTTTTCATCGTGAGTCGCAAGTTGCGTATCTCATTCACCGAATCGGCCAGCTCGGCCTTAGTATCCACGAAGGTCAATTCAACGTCACTGTCCCCAAAATGGCTGACTCTGAACTATTGACACGTCAGCCAATGTTCAATCAGTCAAGGTGTTCATTAGAAAGGAGCTTCAACGATACCTTCTCAGCAGTGTGCAGCCAGTGGCTTGAAGGAAACAGTTTTACCTTCTTCTGGTTGTGACGAAGTCGAGGGATGACAGACGGAATTGTTAGAGACTTATCTCCCGTGACAACTGAAGGCGCAGGACGAGCTTGGGAGAGCTCAGCAAGCCGCTGCTCGACATGTTGGAGGCGATCAGACAATGCCAGCAGCGCGAGATGATTGTTGCTGCTGCTGCTGAGGCTGTGCTGCTGGGGATCGACTTCTGGTACAACCGAGTGCTCAAGCTGCTGTACACGTCGCTCTATGCTCCGAATTCGCTCCGATTCATTCGTTGTTCGTTGCCTCTTTGCAGGGTGATCGATGTTGTTGTTTGGGGCAATGCTGAGCGAGCGAGGAACTTGTTGTGGGACAGTATTGCCCTCGCTTCCACGGTCTTCCAGGGCGAGACTGGGTTGTTGCTGATCTCCTTGATATGTGCACGTCACCGAGGTTCTGGAGACTTGACAGGCTGAACATGGCGATTTGAGATCGCAACGTACTTTTCGGCGGCGGCACGGGTCGCAGGATTGCACAGGTCGGCGGCTCCGGCGTGCGGGTGAAGATGCCGACCGGGTACTGCCAAAGCTCTGGTCCTCAGCCATCTTGACGACAGTCCAAATTGCAGGTATTGAATGCGCGGTCAACGGACATCAATGATGTTGGAAAGGTCGGAGGGAAATCTCGGGGTCGGCAAGCTGCTGAAGTGAGGTGCTGTTCCATCTTGCTCTCGGACTCGGGCCCGAGTCCGGGCTCGGGGCTCGGACATAAAGCCCAATCCACATAGGGTGTGTGAAACGTGCATTGCTCTACTGTATGCCGTAGAAAAATAGGCTTGCTAAGCATATCACGTTGCAAACGTCATACTATGATCGCATGGTTGAACATCCAAGGGCTTCGAATATTTGGCGTTGAAATGCCCCTATTGACATGTTCAATATATACCACGAAGTGCAAAGCATATCGCAAGGCCGACATAGTTGGTCATCTTTGCATCGCTCCTGTCCGGATTAGTTAGATATACGTAGCTTGAACCCGCATATAAATCCCGCTGCAACCTCGAGACTTGCATCACTCTGCCCGTTGCCGAGGCGGGAATAGTATACTGTATACCCTATGAAGTAGCCAAGCTAGGCAGTGATTCGTCTGGTTTTTCGCCAACGAGAAACACGCTTAGACTCGGGCGATGTAAGCGGTCCAATCAGTGTTAGGGATCGGCCTACACCGTCTCTGCTGCATGCTCTACACTGAACGTCTACCGGGGAGCCGAACCTACCCCTTAATACTTGAGGTTGATAGTGAGCCCGGGAAGCCCGTGGAACTTCAAATTGTGGCTTTAGTGAAGACTTGAGGTCATCGCCTTCGAATTGGGAAGAGAACTGGACCTGTGTTCTGGGTCGCTGAACACCTTATGTGTGAGTCGGATATCGGGGGTTCGTCCTCTGAGGAACTGACGATGCTTTGATATTTATGAAGACTCGGCATTGACTTTCACGCCAACCTTGGAGGGTTGGTTTCTTGTTCTGTCGAGTTTATTCACGCATTTCTGTACCCGCTGACTCAAGGCCCGATCACGGTTTTATATTTCCTTCAGCTCTTGGCATCTCACAGTTCACTTTTTCTGTTTTGTTTCGGTGTCAAATTTTCCCACGTGCCTTCCAGCCAGTCGAATAGGCAAACGTGAGTAATAGATATTACAGATACCCGATATTTAAGCCTTTTCACATGGCATACAGCAGAACGATCCTTGGCGGCGATGCCCGCTGCGGGGGAAAGGGTCTGGGGAACTAACCGAGGCAGATACGTGGAGAACGTGGAGGGCGTGAAGAATGCAGATTTAACATTGACGCCAGATCCTGCCAGTTCTTGCAAAAAGCCTTTGCGTGCAAAATCCACAAATCCACCATGGATGCCATTAAAGGCTCTCTGGGTCAGGTCCTACTCCAAACCACAGCCTCCTGGGCTCACATTGTGAGCGAGTACTCGCCCCAGAAAATCGAGTTCGTGGGCACACTTCTCGCCCAGGTCCTTACCTTCTGGCTGCCATCCATATGCTATATGCTCCTCGAAGTGATAGCGCCCTCCTTCTCCGAGCGCCACAAAATCCAACCAGCACCCAAACAGCCAACCCGTCGCGAGATCGCACGCTGCTTTATGGTCGTGATACAGAACCAGATCATAGCATCTATACTTCATCTGACATTGCTGTCCGCAGCCAGCCACGCTGGCTTGAAATCAACATATCGCATCGAGGCATCCCTACCAGGTCCAGTCGAGGTCCTCCGCGACGTCTTTCTCAGCCTATTGATGCGCGAAGCGTTATTCTACTACAGCCACCGAATCCTGCATATACCCAGCCTCTACATCCCCATCCATAAGAAACATCACCGATTCACTGCTCCCATTGCGCTGGCTGCTCAGTTCGCCCATCCGATTGAGCACATCTTCGCTAATACATTGCCCATCTCTCTGCCGCCGCAGTTGCTGGGGAGTCATATCGTGACCTTTTGGATATTTTTGGCTTATGAGCTTGTCAACACGGCGACGGTTCACAGTGGGTATGATTTCTTTTGGTACAAGGCAAGAGCGCATGATCTTCACCATGAGAAGTTCAATTTGAATTATGGATCGTTGGGGTTGTTGGACTGGGTGCATGGGACGAATAAGTTGAAAAAGCATCGCACTGTATGAACATTGTCATTGATTCAAATGTTTGGTAGCTCATTTTGTGCAAATCAATCTGGATATTTGTTTCCGCTGGGGACTACCTGGGCAATATCGGCGCGGCCAATGATGCACCATGGATTTGTCCCGTGTATGGGGTGTGGGAACGCTCTTTCCTTCCTCGTTTCGTGACTTCATTTCCTTCAGTTTCTTCCTTCACATCATTACAACATACTAGGTATACCTAGGTAGCCGGCACGACACGACGAACTCGGAAACTGCAGCCCTTCCAAGGTTGTTCCCACGTGAGATATCCGGAGGTTCCAACCTTGGAAGGTTCCGAAGACAATGAGATCCATGGTTCCATGGTTGTTGTTCTTGGCAGAAGTTGTTTGGGAAGGCGGTAAATGAATAGTAAAAAGTCCACTATAAATATCCTGAGACAATCGGCTCGGAAGAGGAAATAAATTGCGGTCGCAGTTTCCCCCCCTCTGGCAACGTTCAGCTTCGTCTATGTTGTAGACGCTCAGGATATCCTAGCTTATTCCAAGCCACGTAGCTGGGCTGGACCACGGGTCTGGCGGTCGAGCCTGGGGATGGCAGTTTATAACTAGTTGACAATGGCATACCCAATTAATGAGACAATCTGAACTTTAGAATATGGATCTCTAGAAATCTATCATTTGTCGGTCTAGTCGAGTTATGTTACGCTACGCACAATGTTTGAACATTTGAAACATAAGATGCGTTGTCCGGAGTAAGAGAAATAATAGATCATTTTGATGCATATACGGGGGTCTGGGCACTGTAAGTCGAGTGTCTCAGGTCTATGTATAGAGCGTTTGGAAGTGTGTCTCTGGGCAGGTGGGTTTGTGGCGTCGAGACAAGTGTTTTAGCGAATAAAAAAGCAAAAAGTAAACGATCGGATTGAGTTTTTGATTGGATTCTAGAATTTGGGCACGTTTGACATTGGACCCCCTATAGTCTTGACCCCCTTATGTTGTAGACCCTTAGAATAATAATGTTGGACCCCCCAAAGACCCCTGAAGTGCGATCGACTTTGCCTAGATGGAGATGCGTCATCGCCAAGCTAGGGTTATCCACTCAGGGTTTGATGGAGGCAGCAGGATAGATTTCATAGTACTTCGTAAGTTATGTAGGGATTGCATTGGATAAATATGGTGACACACGTAGTATAATACGTATATTGTATATTGTACCTAACCATCATCAGTTGAATATGTTAAAAAGGAAACCTTGGAACAGTCCAAACCAGAAACAAATAAATAATATAAATATGAATATGAATATCAACCAATCAATGTCAATCATTCAGGGTCATCTCCACATAAAATCCACCGTAATATGACCCCTTGCTGATCAGAACAAGCAGCCAATGTATAGCCAATGTACATCGGACCCTTGGCGTAGCACAGCCCATGTTACCGGAGGGGTCTTGGCCATTTCCAAAACCCTTTATCCCTTGCTCTCTTTTCCCTTTTCTTTGACCTCACTTTCGTTTCTCAGTCTGTCATTCACTCTCTTTTTAATAATCTGAGCGCATATTTTCCCACTCTCGTTCATACCTTTTTTTCGCTCTTTTTCCAATTTCATCATGAAGTCCTCCGTCGCCTCCATGGCCACGGCCATCACCATGGGCGCCTCCACCGTCCTCGGTGCCGCAACCAACCTCAAGGCCCGTGAAAGCGACATCACCCCCATCACTGTCAAGGGTAATGCCTTCTTCAAGGGCGATGAGCGCTTCTACATGCGCGGTGTCGACTACCAACCCGGTGGTTCTTCCGACCTCGCTGATCCCATCGCTGATGTTGAGGGTTGCAAGCGTGACATCAAGAACTTCAAGGAACTGGGCCTGAACACCATTCGTGTCTACTCCGTCGATAACTCCAAGGACCACGACGAGTGCATGAACGCCCTCGCTGAAGCCGGTATCTACCTTGTCCTCGACGTCAACACCCCCAAGTACTCCCTCAACCGTGCCGAGCCCGAGATGTCGTACAACGATGTCTACCTTCAGTACATCTTCGCTACCATGGAGAAGTTCGCCAAGTACGACAACACCCTGGCCTTCTTCTCCGGTAACGAGGTTATCAACGACGGTCCTTCCTCCAAGGCCGCTCCTTACGTCAAGGCTGTCACCCGTGACATGCGTACTTTCCTCCGCGCTCGCAAGCTCCGCGAGGTCCCCGTCGGTTACTCCGCCGCCGATGTCGACACCAACCGTCTCGAGATGGCCGAGTACATGAACTGCGGTACCGATGACGAGCGCAGCGACTTCTTCGCCTTCAACGACTACTCCTGGTGCGACCCCTCTTCCTTCACCACCTCCGGTTGGGACCAGAAGGTGAAGAACTTCACCGGCTACGGTCTTCCCCTCTTCCTCTCCGAGTACGGCTGCAACACCAACACGCGTCAGTGGCAGGAGGTCAAGGCCCTTTACTCCACCAAGATGACCCCCGTCTACTCCGGTGGTCTGGTCTACGAGTACTCCGAGGCCGGCAACAAGTACGGTCTGGCCAAGATCGACGGTGACAAGGTCACCACCAACAAGGATTACGATGCTCTCAAGAAGGCCTTCGAAGCTACCGAGAACCCCTCCGGCAACGGCGGCTACAACTCCACCGGCGGTGCCTCCGGCTGCCCCAAGATGCAGAAGCCCAACTGGGATGTCGACTCCGACTCTCTCCCCGCCATGCCCGAGCCCGCCAAGAAGTACCTGACCGAGGGTGCCGGTAAGGGCGATGGCTTCGCTGGCAAGGGCTCCCAGAACGCCGGTACCAAGTCCTCCGGCACTGCCACCCAGGGCTCTGGTGAGGTCTCCGCTGCCACCGGCGGCTCTGCTGCTTCCAGCACCAGCTCCGAGGGTGCTGCCGCTAGCCTCAAGCCTTTCCAGTTCAGCTTCGCCCCCGTTACCGTCGGCCTGGTGACTGTTGTCTCCACTGTCTTCGGTGCTAGCTTCGTCCTCCTGTAATGCTCCTACCTTTTATTAAGGGGCTTCATATCCTTTTTCGATTCTCCCCCACATGTATCTTTTTTTAACTGGCTTTCATCTTTTACCTTGTGATAATTGTCGCTTGGGCTTTGCAAATTGGGGCGAGATGCTTTCTAGTTGGTGTATAGCTGTCCTTAGTATCTACGTCTAGTGTTCAATGAAACGGAGCTGAACTGCTCATATATTCCGGTCTTTGGTAGTCAGCTGCCGTAGAAGTAACCCAATAATTCCACTCTCGCGGTCATCCCAGCATTCATTTGTGTTGGATATGGTGTGTGGATGATACTCCATACTCAATGTGGAGTTAGAATTTCACTTCATACGACAGGGGTTCGCATGGGAACCACTCTCTGCTCGAATAACCAGTGTTGTCAAAGGCATGTTTCCACTGAATTTGCAAGTCACCAGTTAGCCACTCTTAACAGATGCTGAGGGGATACGTAACTACTAGGCGTGACCTCGTACGCCTCTTATACGTACTCCGCCCCTAGAATTCCATTTCAATAGTATTGATAGCCTTAATGCTACCAGTGGCTCATTGGATTCAGCTTACAGACACATGCTCTCTTGAAGATTTTGCGTGAAATGTCTTTCATTGGTACTCTGTCTTTTGAAGGTTATATAAAAATCCTAAATCATTAAGGCCAAAACATCTACTATATAAATTTGATAGACAAACCTAACATCTGCTCCCTGCAACGGCCAGTTCTATAAATATATAAAAACCAAAGACCTACTTGCGAGCACGACGTGAACCAGAAGCATAACCTGAACCAGAGGCATGACCTGAACCGGAGGCATAACCTGAACCAGAGGCATGACCTGAACCAGAGGCACGACCTGAACCAGAGGCACGACCTGAACCAGAGGCACCAGCTGAACCGATCTGTTCAATATCAAACCGCATATGTAGCTTGCCTCCTATAAACCAAGTGAGGATTTGAGAGATCTGATGCGTGCCAACGGGCCAAGCTGCTAGAACAAGACGACCCACTGCCCTCCCCAGCTGTGTCCCTAGGATGCACTGAAAATCCGGAGTGCCCCTTTCCCAAGTGTGGGTTCTTGGAGCCGCAGATCTATCGTCAGGACCCGCCGAGAGTTCAGGCTTTCTGTAGAGCACCTTCCCGACCAAGGGGAGGGTCTCATCATTCTTAACATGCAACATGAAAACATGTCGGAGTGTATCGATATCGGCGTCGTATTTGTACAAAGCTAGAGCAATGTCATTCCAATAGGGTCCCACCCCTCTGGAAATTTTCTTAGCAATGATAGCACCCCTTACGGAATAATGCTCGTAAGAAGACACCTTGGTCAATCTGTCATTCTGCAGAATTGAATAACGGTAACGACTCTCTGCCGGATCCCCTGGGAGATTAGTCGATTCAAGACCCAACATGATTTCGGTCGGTGGGGGACAGAACGAGGTTTTCCATATATTAAAGAAGGCCGCATTCCGGGGAGTTCCATGGGTTAGACTGTGAACAGTTAGTGTTGAATGGGATACTCCAGGTTCACCCTCGGATTGGTCGTTGTTGGCCATCCAGTTTTCATATTTTAAACCCTCCCGTTCGAAGGCATCGATTTCGTGCCTTTTAGGTGTTGATTGTAGTATGGGGATCATGTCTGTATTTAAAGATGCGGACACAGACGCGGAAGCCCTACTCCACCGCATGCGAGGAGTTCTGGGGGTCGCATGAAGATGTGTCGATGTGCCCGCTGACTGCCTTTCACTTAGACTGCTGCGAGCTCTGCTTAATTGTCTTTCAATACTTGATTTCTTAGAGGGACTACCTTCGGCAGGAGGGTCATCGTTGTCGGCACCATCCTCCTCTCCACGTCTCCGTTTTTGACTCCCGGGAGTGGGAGTGGCGGGGGCTTCAACAGGTGCAGTGGCACCCGTTGCACCGCTTTGCGCAGGTGGTGGAGTTATTTCTTCCTCATTTCCACCGTTATTGGTACGATGGAGGCGATTTCCCAATCTCTTCCATATGGCCATCGTGTTGGGAGTATCAAATGAAAATATATAGACAGCTTTGGAAGTCTTGGAGGGTTTCTGATATGGGTATTTGGGAATTGGTATGCTTGAATGACTTACCTAGGTGCTGGACCAGGCGGATATTATATAGTCCAGGACCAAAGGGCATATAAGAGAGGACGGTCCATGGACAAGTCAGAGCTTGCATCCGAGCTAAGTTAAGATGAAACGAACAGAACAATGGATATATATAGAGACTCGAAGAACAAGGGGATTCGAAGATATATGGAGATGACGGGGGGTTGAACAAGTGATTCAATAATAGAACAAGGGAATTGAGGCGAAGGATGTGGACCAAATGGCCGAGGGAGAAAGATCTCGATACTAAGCGCATGATGCAATGAGAACTATATTTTCGAAACAAAGCAACAAAGCAGTGTCTGATGGTTGACTAAATTTAGCTTGAAGCCGAGTGCCAAGTATGACAACGAACTGGAGATGAAAGAAGTCGACGCTCCAAGTAAAGTTAAGGTATGGTAGAAATGGCGACTTTCCCCAGAGTCATCAAAGATTCCCATTGTTGTCATTAAAATCAAGAGCGACGTCTTGAAAGATCTGTTCTGCTGGGAAACTGGGGCGAAGTGCGACTGCCGATGCAGCTGCAAACACCCAGCTTCCTGCATTCGTCACATCTCGGTGTGGACGACTGATCTTATCGCCAATTGTTGAGGCTGCGAAACCAGAAGCTGGGAAATCAGGAAGAAGAAAACTGCTGCATTCAATTTACTAAGAGAACGCCTTTAATAGACGCCTGCGCTAACAAACAAGCAATCAAAAAGGCTCAGTCTGATCAAAAAAGCATCCCATCTATGGGCTCCAACACCAATGAAAGCTTCAATCCACGGAGCTGCTTGACGACCATCGCTTCCCAAGCATCAAAATAATCTCGGGAGCTCAGTTGAGGATGATCTTGTGAAGGGTAACGTTATCCGGATCTGCTAACTGGTGAGAAATTGAGAGAAAAAAATACCTTTTGTAGGTAGATGATAGCTCGGAATATGCAAGGCCCTGTTAGGCTCTACAGTATGTAGGAACTAGAAAAGCAGAAGGGAACTGTGTTAGGAGAGAGGAGTGGGCTGCCAAACAAGTATCTAGCAAACGCAGCTCAGATGGATTTTTCACTTCCCTGATAGAGATTCTATCATTCGGGACTTTTTCAAGTCAACAGCCAACTTGAGATATACGAGTTTAATCGTGTCACCTGGACAGGAAGCCCTACTTCACATAAGATAAAAGGACCCAAGGCATGTACCTAGATATGTAGGTAATATCTATGATAGAAGTAGCTAAATCGAGTTCATGAAGGATATCGTATTGAGCAAAGTGAGAAAATCCCCAAAGGATTGACTGACCTCTCGTTAGCTTGCAGGACTTAATGTAGACTGAAGCAGGCAATAACCACGTCTAGGGCAAGAGACATCATCCTCTCGGCCACACCGTAGCAACCAGGAGAAACCAGAACAGACTGACAAATTAACGGTTACCCACGGTTACCACCCCATCCCGCAGAAAACCTCCAATCCTGCCCGACCTCTCCAAGCCCTCTCACCAGACTCACAACATTATCAGCAAACCCAGCCTCACCATTGTTAACCCTCGCCCGGCGCTCGCGCTCAGTGTCCGAACTAGCTTCACGAAGACCAAGCAGCTGCCGCGTACTGTACCCCTGCAAGCGATCCGCATCCATCCTCGTCAAAAGATTACCTTGGCCGTGCCGCCGAGTCCAAGCCGCCTGTTTAACAGCCGGAGCCCAGTACTCCGCCAGAGAAGACTCATCGCGACCGAACGCGTAGCACTTGGCCAGCGGAGAGTCCGACTCCGGTACAAGCGACGCATTCCAGCGCGTGTGGACGACTTCGTACCTCTTCTCCATGAAGAAGATAACCGGCCACGTGATAATCCAGAGCTGGAGGAGGACGATAACCCACCAGACGAAATTGTTTGTGCGGAGTCGGTTGATCCAGTGCGGAGAGTATATTGTGATGGAGCCTTGGGAGATGACGAGGCTGAAGCCTATGGAGCCGTGGTAGTTGAGTTCGCGGATGTGGGAGGAGAGGACGTTACGCATAGCGTTGGAGTTGAAGCCGCGGACTTCGCGGTGCATAGTGAATCTGGATTGGTTTAATTGAGATTAGCAGGGTATTTCGTACACGAGTAGGCAGACCTTACGATTTCACAGAGGCGGGGTCACGACAGAATCGCTCGCACCACATCATCAGGTTTTTCGCGTCTAGAGAGCTATCGTCTTGCTCGTCGGCGTTATTTCGGGCCAGAATGGCATCGGTGTCCCCCGACAGACTAATAGCAGCACGCGACTTGGGCGGCTTATATGTGCTTGAGCGAAGGATCCCTCCCCGATACGCGGGTTTGACGTCCTCATCTGTGAGGATCTGGACTTCCCTCCAGTTCATCCCCATGTTGCCGCCCTCCCAGCCGGTCAGCATGGTCTCAGCTAGATCCAGCGCGAAGTGGAAGTCTGAGACTGTGTAGTGTTCATCTTTCTTTTCGCCCCTCCTCACTTCGGTGTGGGTTCCGTGAATGTAGAGCAGTGGGCGTGGCGGCAGCTTTATTTGCCGGCTGATGACATTGTAGAGCCTGTCGCAGTCGCTCGAGAGCGCTGGGTCGAGGGTGAGAAAGGCCTTGTCGTGGGGTTTGGCATTCTTGCCGCCGGGGAAAACATAGGCTGAGTCGATTAGACGGAGGGGTCGGATGCTTGTGGGAGGCTGGGCAGGTTGGACAGGCTGGATGGCTCGGACAGACCGGTCAGGGGCGATAATGGGCTCGGTGTTATCTGTGTATGGAGGAGGCGCGTCATCAAATGAACGAAGGGAGTGCGACGGTGATGCAGGGGGGTCGGCCTGGTGGAGGCGGCCCATATTATCGGATTTTTCGAGAGAAAAGGAACCAAAATACACAAAGTGACAAATCTCTAAGCACTAAAATAGACTAAAGAGAACACAAAAAGAAAGCAAGGAACCTTGGAAGCAAGACAACAAAGATGGAGATGGAGGGGATTTTCAAAGAGGCTCTAAGACCTCGTAACTATGACCACACTGCAGCCTAAACATCAACACTAGATATTCTACGTATTCTCTAGGGCTATACACCAATTCCCACCTCATCCAACATAACACTTCATAGATCCAAATTTAGGATCCATCAGCTGGCGATCCTGGCACAAACCAGGACCCCGCCAGCCATAAGTCTGGGAAATATCGTTGACAAGATCGCACTTGTCATTAGGAGAGACGGTACAGAGACCATTCGACATACGCCACGATTTGGGATCATCCAGAGAATCCTTGTGACAGTCCGTCCACTCCCAATTACCGCTTTCTGGTATAGTCCACGAACGACATGAAACGGCCGTGTCCTTGACCAGGGTCTCGAGCTTGCTCCCCTTGCCGAACTGCATGCAATCACTGTCCTCCAAATATTTGTTGTGACCTTGGAGCAGCACGTAGCTACCAGTGCAACCAATGCCATCGTACATCTTCAGCGACCATCCGTTTTGTACGTTGATGATACCATCCACGGTTTGTGTCGCGGAAGGTGGGGAGCTCTTGGTTGCGGAGCTTTTGCTTGTTGTAGAAGACGTGGTCTTGGTAGTACTTGTGCTTGCCTCCCGCAGACGGCTCGCCAAAATACTGATCTTGTTGGCCACGTTCAGGAATGCAGTGCCAGTGCCAATGGCAGTAGTAGTAGCACTAGTAGGATCGGCAGCTGGCATGGAAGTGGTCTCGTGTAGATATGTCAAGGGTACATCGATCAGGGGTATATCTGTCGTGAAGAAGTGCGGATTCTTGTTTTTCGTTGTCGAGGGTACATCTTTAGCCGTCAACGTGACAGCTTTGGTTGTAGAGGCAGCCGATGTCGCTTTAGTTGTTGCAGATGTAGTCTTCACGGACGTGGCTTTAGTTGCAGGCGCAGGAGGCGCGGCAGGTGCAGGTGCAGATGAGCCACAGAAGTCTGGACCAGTACCGCATTGACCCCTTGTAGAGCACTATAGATATGGTTAGCCTAGGCCGGGAGAACGAAATCGAATCTTGATGAAGCTTACACATTGACCCGCAGGGCATGGGTTTAAAGCGGCAATGCCTATCCCCCTCAACGGACGTGCCGTTCCAGGCACCTGGGGGCCACAGACTGCACCGCCAATTGCAACAGGCATTGGGGGGTCGCCAGCGCTAAGACAAATCTGGCCCCCTTCCTGCAGTTTTTTGCAACCATACCATGCCGTGGTATTGATGTTCCAAGTCTCGATATTGGCCACGGTGATCTTGTATCCCTCAGCAATCTTCTCGCAGGTATCACCATGGCGATTAGTGTAAGCGTAGCAGTAACCACCACCGTCCGGTGGAATGCTATGGGTTCCTGTTGCGCAGCATACCGGCTTTCCGCGAGGCAGAGAGGAGCAGGCTGTATCTGGGTTGAAGGACGTGAATGATGCTGCCGAGATACCACACTTGAGAGCCAGATCGTCGCATGTATCCCCATTGCCGACAAGGATGGAAGGACATGTGTAGGGATAGGTGTAGACGGCCCGGTCTGCGGTCGGTTTGGACTATCTTGGGTTAGAGTCTGGGGGATAAGTAATGTTGGAAGTTGGAGAGGTAGGAACTAACCTCGCGTGCAGCTACAGACAACGCAACTGTCTCATGAATCAGACCAAGACCGCATAGAGCGAGGAAGATGCCCTTTTGAAAAGGCTCCATCTTGTGTAGAACTGCCGGAGAGGACGATGCTCTTTGAAGAAGTAACGCGCGGCTTTATATATATCTCTAAAGAACTACATCACGAAGGTCACGTTCGAAAGCATTATCGCGGAGGCAACATCCATTGATGCAGTTGGTGAATCATATGAAACACAAATTTGCTCTTTACAGTGGCCTGCATGGTCTGAGGGTCTCGAAAGAGCCACTTAGAATCTGTCTTTTCTCGAGGACAATATGTAGAGTTGTTGTAAAGAACAAGCCAAAGTGCCTCCTCTGCCACCGTCAACAAAGGAAGTCGCTGCATCCGAGGGAACCCCAGTACAAATGTGACCTCGAATGGCCTTTGTTCGAGGAACTCTCTTTCCTCTTCGGAGGTGGGTATGTATATTCTCTTTGAAGGAGCGATATAATGCACCATACTGCCAAGGGCCTTGGCTACCGGGGTAGTAGATACCGGCACCAAGACCACCACTTTGTGGGTTTCATGTTACCAAGACAAAGGAAGCACTCAAAGAAGCAACTGCCAGATACTGTCACTCTTTTGAAGTCATTTCTAGATCACCATCAGGTTATCGTTGGCGTAGGATAGACACCATAAAAAACAGCGCGCATCTCTCGGACCAGTCCGTCGGCATATATGTATTGACCTTGAATATTGGAGAAGAATACGAAGCTTGTTGCTAGTTAGTCTAGTGTGCGCGACTGAGTCAAAGAACAAATATCGTGTGATTAAAATAAACAAGATTGGTCAAGGGCTTGTCGGCTTTGTGCCAGAATTCAAAGGTTGATAGGGACAGGGTTCCAGAAATAGCACATTGGACTTGAACCATCCTAAGTGGTAATCTTGGGAATCTGGAGATACCCAAGGTTGCAACATGCAAGTATGCAGATATATTTCTCTAGGGATATGTCCCATTCAAAGGCTAACTTTTGACATATACCATGCCTATTTATATGTATGATTGTGGAAGCAGAGAGGGGAATATATCATCTTAGTTTGCTACGGACTAGTCCGTGCGGAGTACTCCGTAGATCTCATGGGGCTATCTCGGCATGTACAGAGCATCATTACTTATTAGGGATATTGGTATAAATGTGTGCAGGTTGCCTTTTCTGATTGAGTCTATTCACGCAGATTCATCGTGATACAGTCTCCTTACTCCACCTGGGTGCGTCCAGAGATTCACTATGGATGTAGTGTACAAGAAGCAACTCTAAATGTCCGCTTCGAGAGATGCAGTATGTCTTAGAGTGATGTTCTTCAGGAAGCCGTACCCCAGATGGTAGGCTTAGCTGCGAACCAGCTAGGGGTAACACATCAAAATTTATAGCTGGATATGATTAATCACCGCAGAATTCATCCTCCCGAGGTCTCTCTCTCATACGCTTCTTAAATTTCACGTCCATGGATGCATTGCACATACTTCCACAATGACCGTCGCTCCTTCTCTTTTCTCGCTCTTTCCTCTTCCATCTTGCATGTTTCCTATGTTGCTTAGCATCGCGGTAGACAGCTAGACAGCTAGACGCGACGCGTCGGATTCTCAGTTGATCTGGATTTTTCAATTTTCTGCTCTTCTCTTCTTTTCGATCTTTGCGCATCTATTCCTTAGAATTGTATCGTTATTCCTCTCCCTTGATCACCACAATGGCTTCTAACCAGGGTATTCCCAACCAGGGTATTCCCAACCAGGGTATCCCCAACCAGGGTATCCCCAACCAGGATATCCTCGACCAGGATATCTCCGACCAGGATGTCTCCATGGAGGATGTCTCGGATGCCTTCGTACAGGATGTCCCCAAGCAAGATGTCTACCCCCCCCAAGCAGGCTCCTTATAACCGGGCTGCGTGGCTTACTGGAAGATCGGCTCGTCCCCTCATGGTCGGTGCGGCACCGTACACACCTCCATCCGCCCACCAAATCGTTGTCAAGAATGGTGCTGTGTCTGTCAATACCGTTGAATGTACCAAGCAGTTGGAGGGCAACATGATGTCCCCCCGGATCAAGTACCCCTTCGTGCTCGGAAACGATTGTGCCGGTGAAGTTGTGCAGGTTGGAGACATGGTTAGTCGCTTCAAGGTTGGTGATCGGGTTCTTGCTCACGCCCTCTCCATGGATCCGGCCGTCAACAAGTCGTCTGAAGGTGCTTTCCAACACTACACCGTGATCAATGACAACATGGCCGCAACGATTCCCGATTGGCTCTCTTTCGAAGAGGCTTGCGTTGTTCCACTCGGTTTCTCAACTGCCGCGACCGCCTTGTTTCATGAGGACTACCTCAATCTCAATCGCCCTGGTGTCCCCCTTGGTACGGGCCCAGACTGGCTTCCTGAAGTGGTCCTGGTCTGGGGCGGATCGACCAGCGTCGGTTGCAACGCCATCCAGCTCGCCGCAGCAGCTGGTTACGAGGTTATCGCCACATGCGCTCCCAATAACTTTCAATATGTCACTAGTCTTGGTGCATCTGCGGTCTTTGATAATCGCGACGTCTTCTCAGTTTTCTCGATCATCGAACTTTGCCATCACAAGAGAGTTGTCGGTGCTATAGCTATCGGAAAAAACTCGACTGAACCTTGCATGGCAATTCTTGCGCGGTCGATCGGTTCGAAGTTGGTGGCCCGAGCCAAGTTCCCATTCTCGGAAAGAATCCCAACCACAATCTTCCAGAAGTTTCGTTCTATGGCAGCCTCAATGCGTTCGAACCTTAGGATTAAGATCTGGTCGAAACGCTGTGGTGTGAAAACCAAGTTCATTTCCGATACCTCTGCGGCCCATACCGAGGTTGGCGCTATGGTTTATAACCAATTCCTCCCTGGAGCTCTTGCAACTGGGGTATTTGTCGCCGCTCCCAAGCCGCGCGTTGTGGGGAAGGGTCTGGACCGAATTCAGAGTGCCATTGACTGTCACATGAGGGGTGTGTCTGCTCAGAAGGTTGTTGTCTCGCTTTGAATTTGTCTCGAGCTGATATCGAACAGTCCATGGTGTCGATTGTATCCACAAGGACCTCTAGTGAAGCAGCTGAGCAAGTCTCCCGGTGCTGCTCTTATTTCCTCTCGCCTGAAAGTGCACAGAGTCTACACGCAGGATCTACGGGATAACTACCCATCATTGCTATCTAGGTAACTTTACTCAATCATGGCCAATACAATCCCAATTTCAATCTAGCCATTCAGGTGCACGTTTCAATGTAAGAAAGTGAGTAACATTGAGGATCAAGGCCATACCTGTAGTTAAGTGGATGCATTATCAAGACTACTTTGGTCCCCCCTCTCCTCTGTGATGGAAATGTAATGAATGACACTTGATTCAAAGAGACTGACCACTTGAATACTACATCTGTACGCGCATATAAGGCCCAGGAATAATACAAAAAGAAAGTGCTCCGAAGTCCCCAGTTCTCGATACGAGCTAAAGAAGATTCATTATATCCAAAAAGAAAGGTGGCTCCGGCTGACCTGTCACTTCAGACATAGTACACCCTTGAACGGTCGACAGGTTGCACAATTTGTGCAACGATTCTGAGTCCGAGTCAAGCAGCTCCAAGTAGCTCATAGCTAAATTATTCCCACCTGCAAAACTCGCAAGGCCTTTCTCAAATCCTCCAACTTTTGCTGGTTATCCTCCGACGCGGAGAGACATGTACTCAGTTGATCGGCATGTGCCTTGAGAAACTTTGCCGAGAGATAGAGTAACATGGGAGAAAATGCATGCGCCTGTGCAACAGTGTGAGACAAAAAGCCACTGTCAATCCACGGGGAGGAAAGGGGATGGTCTCACCTTGAAAAAGCTGGATCGGGTGAGCGGCTTCGCCAAATCTACTATCTCGTACGCGGAGTAGAGGGGAACCAAAATGATCTCATCATCAATTTCCACCTGCAGGGCCTCCATTATGTTGTAGAACCATATCACGGCGGCATTGGCGAGCATGTTTGTGAAGAGGCGCATAGGGTCGTGGAGTTCGGGCGAGGATGGGGGTAGTGAGACCAGCATCAGCCGCTGTTGTACCATTTGGTATAGCCGGGTATGGCGCTTCCAGGTATCTCCGTCGCTCGGAGATGTTTTGCCACCACGCGCGGCTCGCTGGAATGCAACGCTGTGCCAGCATAGCGTGATCAGGACGATTGTCTCCGCGAAAGGCGGTAGCATTTTCTGTCCGGAGGTCTCGATCTCGTCATATAAGGAGTCCATAATGACTGGCCTGCTGTGTTGGAAATCCGACTCCGATACGGGGAGATATATGCAGAGCTGAACTAGATGTCAGTGGCGCTCGGAGTATTCTGTAAAAAAAAAGGGGAGTTGTTGCTTACTGCTTCCTCGTGTAGACTTAGAGGCCACTCGTCAGAGATATTGAGGAAGCGGTCTAGACAATATGCCAGCCAGTACGTCCGTCGCTTTTCCTCGGCCTCGGCCCATGCTTCGGGATGTGCCATGTTCATGGTAACGTCATTGAGCCGATCAATTTCGTGTAATTTGGCAAGTTGGATAATGCGAAAGGCGCGTCCTGCTGTAAGCCATGCTCGGCGGTAGCTCATGTAGCGGAATTCGTAGTGCGTTAGAAGAAGCCATGCTTGGGCTGCCTGGAGGCAGGCCGCACTGCTAGATTCAATATCTTGGTCGAGAGCTTCAATGCCGGACCGCACACGGGTGTAGAGAGACTCCCGCATGTGCTGTAAATGGGCGGACGAGGCCGCTGCAAGTGCCCACATTGCAAATTGCAGGCAGATGTAAGAGGCTGGTTTGTTGAATCTCTGTGACCAGGAGAAGTACCGGCCTTGGTGGAGCATCGGCGCGACGGGATGTACTCTGTCGAAATATAGTTGGTCCCTTCACTTGTTGTTAGATATATCCGGGTTCGGAAGGTAAGCTTTGCGTACAGATCTGCCTCTATCATATCTGAGCTCTCATTATTAGGTGGGGTCATCGGTGTAATAGGTGAGGTTATTGCTGATGCATCAATCGAGTAGGGGATATCATGACATTCGGTCTTCGTGACATTGGGGATATAGTCTTGGGGTGGACTGAGCATTTGAGCGGTCCCGTCGGAGTTATATTTCTCATTGCCGTCCAATACTTCCTTGGGACCGAGATTGCCCTGATCACAATTTATGATGCTTTCCAAGGTGGCTAAAAATGAAATTAGCAGAGAATGTGTATATATAACAGTGCTAACAAACCAATGCGATTGCGCAAAGCCTTGAGATGTCCTTTCTTAGGTCCCCGTGGTGAGCGAACCTGATTGATGAGGCATGCTGTGCCCGAGTCCTCACATTGGTCACATTGAGGTCGTCGTCTATCGCATCGAAGTTTCTTTTTGCGGCATTCCTCGCAAGCCTAGGTTATCAGCTCTGAGCGCCACTTTATGAGCTAGGTGGCTATTGTCTCACCAGTCCTGGCTGCTGTCGTGAGCCCGACATATTTGAAGAGTAAAACAGAGTGCTGATGCCTTGATACTACTATACCACCAAGAAGAACAAGTTTACCTCAGTCAATGAGACAGGTATTTGTAGTGGGTATTTATAGGCATTGACCTAGACTATTGAGTGCAATCGAGGCTGAGTCGCTCAACCGTCGGCAATTATAGATTGATTGCTTGTTTCGCCAGGCACCCACCCTAGTAGAAAGCTTCTTTCGTGGTATTCCACATTTGGTAATTTGTACTTGTCGAAAGTCCGATCCTCTTCGGCGATGAGGCCCGACGAGAACCTCCTGCGCATGGTGTGATCAGCGCTACATCCTAAATGACCCTATACCCATGACTCCCTCACATTCTTCAGGTAACCAAGTGGTGTTTGTCAAGGGTAAATGGCTAATGATCTTGATAGCTCTGAATAAACTTCCGTCCTGCGCGGACTGCGCCGTTAGCCTTGTAATCACGCCATTTGGGTAGTATAGATAAGCTGGATGGTGGTAGGATGTACCAACCAGTTAGCCATGTTTGTCGATTGTTGATCAGAAGTTGGACGATCTGGCATTCTGGTGTTGGGTCTGTTAGCCGAATTGGTTAGTTGCTCATCAAGGGACAGGTTCGGATTGTTAACATAGTGTGGCAGGTTGTTGTTTGGATACGCTAAGCCGACTGGCTGTTACATAGTGTCCTCAACTGCAGCACATGCAGCACGTGGACATTGATTTGGAATTGGTTCAAATCACACCTACCACACGACAAGCTAAACTGGAGGCAAGAGGTGATTCTCGGTCTAGTGGAGCCAAGAGAGTGTAGCACAAAGCAGTTGTGGTATACCAAAATGTACGGGGCATTAATTGTGTCATTGGCTTGTTTCAAGCATCTTCTGCAATCTCCGACACAAAACCTGTACGATATCTACGGTGTTTGGTGGGGTTGGAGCATCTTCCATGGTTGAAGAGCTTATAAGAGGCTGATACATTTATTTGAATACAGGCTTTGATAAGGCAATAATTGACTATTGGGCAGATATAACAGCGAATTCACACAGTAAGGATCTAGGTCCATGACTGCTTAAGCGTATTAGGAAACGGGTTGGGTTACAGATAGACCAGGTAGAACCAAACGCCCGGAAATCTCACACATCGACTTACACCTCCCCGGCATGATACTTTGAACCCGATCAAAAGGGTTCCTTATGGCAGACGATGGAACCTAGGCCGTCCCTCCTTGGCCATAGGGAAGACGCAATTCGGTATTGTTGCAGCCAGAAACATCAAACACTGTAACTTCAAGGAAAAAGCTTGGATGTGACTCGACCTGGTCGAGTGATCATAGAAACAAGAAATAGATGCACATTGTACCCCTTTGCCCCACATTAATATTGGGCTTCTCTGTAATTGGTTAATATTCCCCTGTGAGAGCCACGCGAGGCCGTCGCATATACAGGAGGCTACACTAACCAAATATGGTAGGTACAGTAGTGCAGCATACATATATTATTATCATGCCATTTCAATAGTTGATACTGATTAACTTCTAAACTACCATGTGTTCTGGGCTTGAATTAACCATGAAGGTAATTGCCAAGAGCTGGGGTCTGCATCGACACGCATCCACTTCCGGACCTGCGTCATCTTGCTGCCACAGTTAGGACCAGGCGGGGCTTATCTGAGGCACGGCAACTACTCACGGCAGTAAATATTGCAACAATCCAATGTTGATAGGCTAACTATCTCCCCCGGGCCGAAAAAAAGGTTGTGCGTATTTGGAATTGTTAAACGGCTATAGTCCTTGAACCCATGTGACCTTCGGCACGAGGCTCTGCTCCCCATTGTGCACCTGGAAAGCCCTGGAGTGTACTGATATGATGCTTACTCATCGGTCGTTATTGGAATCTCGACTATCCAGATCCGGTCTCTGCAGGACCTTTGTCGATATGGAGTGTCGCAATAGTTGGTGATTCGGCCATCCCATTGCAATCCTCGAGTTCGGGCTAACGGCAGTCACAAATACGGGCACAACATGCCCCGTAGCACGTGCACGTGTTCCTCGAAACAATTACAAATGAATGCAATCATGCAATCATCTCACACTTGGTCCAGACAGGAACGGACTCAACTTATACAGCTTTTCCAAAACTCCAGTCCCTTCCCCAAACACGAAATTCAGAATTCAAGCTTGCCTGCGCCGGAAATATTTTACAACAGGCTGGATAAGACGTTGGATAGCCTCTAATGATCGACGGTTCTCACCTGTTAGCGCCGGGACGGGCCGGACGGTGGGTCTTCTAAACTGGAACGGGCTTGATGACGCGGAATCAGATTTCTATTCCAAACTATGTGAGTTTTCCAAAACACAAGGCGAAGTAGGTGATGGGAGGCATAACTCCATTACTTCAAAATTCAGAATTCACAATCGCACTACAGTATGCCACCACGCAAGGAAGCAGCATAGCTGGTTGCCCCGCCAGCAGACTATCTGGCTGCAGCGCCAGCACAAATCACAACGGTCCACTTGTGATTGGCATCCGATGTATTGCCTTTCATATCAAGCCCATTCTTAAGCGCCTGGCACTTCTGTAGGACATAATTTGTAATTAGATTTTAAGGCCCGGGGTTATATTTCCCTACGTGTAAGGAGTGGACATAGGTAGCTGTCAGGTAGGACTCAGATAGCAAGAAGGTGGGTAGTACCTTCCCAAGAGACGAGAATAGGTTCCTTAAGTCCGACCAAAATATAAGGTCTTCCTTCCAAGGCAGGACCCCTTATAGCTCAGTGGTTTAATCATGTAGCGGATCGAGTCGTGATAGGGAGGTCAGTGGGGTTTGTGGGCTACCTGGTTCTCCCCAGGAGTGTGCAAACCTGAAGGGGGTCTCCGTTTCTTATTTTTTTTTTTACTTCTTACATCTCATATTGATTTCTCACTCACACCGTACAGGCAATCTATCGTGTGGGCTTGTCATTGCAGAAATATCTATTCATTAACGAGACACATCATTCATATACTTTATAACATCGTCTAATGCTCAACGCCAATCCGAAGGCTACCGTTAAAATCCCTGAAGTCACCCCTCAAGATTCCGATGCCGTCTCTCCTGACTTCCTCCACTAGCCCCTTGACTTTAGGTGCGATACTCTCCGGTGCAAATCCAAAGTGCTCGTATGTCTCCTTTGATGGAAGGCTCTTTCCAAAGCTGTTCATCGACACCGAAGCATCAGCATAGCGCTCCCACCCGTTGGACGGATACGCCTCGATCACAACAGTGGGCTTCCCAGCCCGGGACTTCAAAACCGATTGTTTGTACTCCCGCGACTGCTGCTCAAATAGCCTAGTGCAAGGGAAGGACAGGACACGTGCCCTGATACCATGCTCGTTAAGCAGCAATTCCCTAGTCTGCATCGCAAAGCCCATCTCAGACCCGACTCCGATCAAGGTTACATCGAAATCATCGCCTTCAGCCTCGGCGAAGACGTATGCGCCCTTGAGCGTGCCCTCGCGCGAAGAGTTCTTGGGGTATTGTGTCAGGCTCTGTCGGGAGAGTGAGATAACAGTAGGCGTCTCAGTGGCCTGGATTGCAGCAATGTAGGCGCCGGCCACTTCTTCTGCGTCGCATGGCCGGATGTAAAGAACATTAGGCATGGCGCGGTAGAGAGCGGCGACGGCAATGGGTTGGTGTGTAGGTCCGTTCTCACCAACTCCAATGCTGTCGTGGGTGGCGATGTGGATCTGCTGGAGGCCTTGAAGCGCGGCCATGCGCACACCGGCAGCCGCGTACAAGTGGAAGACAAAGTAGGTACTCGTCATGGGGATAAAAGTGCCCTTGTTAAATGCAGAAAGTCCGTTGGAGATGGAGCACATGGCGTGCTCGCGGATACCGTAGTGGATATATCGACCGCTGTAGTTTCCGTTCAGTCCGCAAGCAGTTTGGAGTTCGGGCTAGTTTTACATTAATATCCCGCGTCGACCGAAGATATAAGGCTGAACATAAAGTACTCACAGATTGGAAGTCAACTTTGTTTTTGTAGGCGACATTGACCGAGGGAGTAAGATCCGCTGTTCCGACCAAGACTGAATTGATATTCACTGCAAGGTTGTTGGTCACAATACCGGCTGACTTTCGCGTGGCCGTTGGCGCAGTAGGCTGGTCTTCTGTGCGAGGAATGCATTTGGTCCAGTCTTCAGGCATCTTGCCCGCGACACGGAGCGCAAATTCAGCCGCCAGAACGGGATCTTGATTCTGATACTTCACCAGGGCATTTTGCCATGCCGCTTCGTGTGCGTCACCACGACCAGGGATGTCACTGAAGAAGTCATAGACGTCTTGGGGGATGTGGAAATGCTCGTCAGGGTTGAGGCCAAACCTCCTCTTGAAGTTAGCCACTTCCTCGACTCCAAGTGCAGCTCCGTGGATGTCGGCGGTTCCGGCCTTGGCAGCTCCGTAGCCAATAGTGGTGCGAACGTTGAGAAGGTGGGCTTGTCGCTTAATTTAGCGGCAAGAAGAGCGTTTGTGATTTCTAGTGTATATTATTAGCAGAGCTTTCACCGCCAAGCTAAAAGAGCTCTGAGACTTACCAGCAACATCCGAATTTCCGTTGTACACGTCTACTACGTTAAAGCCAGTGGCCCGCATCTTGGTGTTGATGTCCTCCGTGTTGGCGATATCCGCAGTTCCATCACACGTAACTGAGTTATTGTCGAAGATAACACAGAGATTGTTTAGCTTCCAGTGACCAGCGAGGGACAGCGCCTCGAGACCGACACCTTCCTGAAGGCAAGCATCGCCCACCATGCACCATGTCATGTTATTCACTAGCTCATGGCCGGGCTTGTTGTAAGTCGCGGCAAGGTTCTTAGTGGCCATGGCAAGGCCAACAGCACTGGCGAGGCCCTGGCCAAGGGGCCCAGTTGTGACCTCTATTCCCTCATTCTCAATTTCAGGGTGGCCGGGACAGACTGAGTCGAGCTTGCTTGAGTGGTAAGACTTGAGCTGTTCGAGTGTCATGCTCTTGACGCCAACAAGATGCATAAAGAGGTATTGCCACAGGCATGCGTGGCCTATTACGATGTTAGTTGAGTTACATGTTGCGTTGCTTCTGGATAACTGGAGGGACACAGAGGACATACCATTTGAAAGAACGAAGCGGTCCCGGTTGAAGTAGTTGCAATTGTTCGGAGAATACTTCATGACATACTTATACAGGGAAATACCAATTGCAACCATGCCCATGGGAGATCTGTGGACGAGTTCCAGTTAGCGCTGCGCCGTGAACAAGGGGATTCCCGAAGAGGGCGCCGACTTACCCAGCATGGCCTTCACCATACTGCTGGCAGAGATCAGCGATGAAAGCTCGGAAGACATTCATCACCCGCTCATGCTTCTCCGGGCTCTCTAATCTGAGTCCAGCAGCATCTCCTTTGCCGATCGCCGAGACGGCCTTTACCGGCAGGTACTGTGCGGGCTTCTCGAGGAGTTCCAGCGCAGGTGCCATGGCGTAAGGTTCGGCTGACTGTGACACTAAAAATGACTGTTTGAGAATAGCGCTTCGTAATGAGAAGCTGCAAAAGGCTAGCGGACAAAGCCGAGCGGACTGCTGATTCTTATACTCAAGCCATCATTCCATATCCATGGCGTGCCCGACAGTCAATGGGTTGTGCCAATACTGGATCGTGGATGTTCGGCATCGAGACGAAGTCATGGACCACTCGGATCCGATAGTGTCAATCAATTAACGAAAGGCAATTGAACAGATTGGCGACTTTGCACAAACCTGTTGTAGAATGGTGGTCATGGTGGTTGGGGATAATCCTTCGCTTCGAGGACAGTGGCCCTCGCCTCGAGAACCCACCTGCAACCCCATCTCCAATACCGTGAAAAATGGGTCCTCAAGATTGGTCAGTTTGTCACAGCAGCTCCGGTTGCTAAACGTACAGTCCTATGATATGCTGGCAATCTGATAAGTATGGCCGTACCGCATCGGGCTAATAATGCCGTTATACTATCGGCATTGCTTCCGGTGCCGGTCTTGTGGGCCTGTTGGCACCTGCATTAACAGTACATAAAGACAAAGGCCTTCAGCATGGAATCTCTGACAATTATCCTCTGGCTAATTATTGCTAGTATCTGCTTGGTGATTGTTCCATTCGCGATGTTTCTTGTGCTGTATATTTTGTCCTTTCGGAGTAAGGATGTATATATTCAAGCTTCCGGAAAGCTGGATTGTGATATACATTATTGGCATGATAATACCCATCTACAACCATGTTCCCTTTGTAAATATATATGATATACTAGTGCCGGTGCGTGTATGTAGCCATCATAAAGAACACATGGTCATACAGCGGGTGGTTCTATCCCGAACCCCGAAATCTCCCCAGTTCATTTTTCTTCGTTTCTGCCAAAGCTCATGGGTTCCGATTGTACGAGAGAAAAAGAGATTTGGATTTTGAGGCAAATACAAGAAGAAGGGGGCTTTTCCAATGTGATTGAATGGTCGGATTTCCCCCAACCAAGTGGGTCAGGCTAAGGCGGGGTAATGAATTCCGGGGAAATGTTTTTAACGACCTTGGCAGCTTCGAGACGAAACCCACGAAAGCATCCTCGATGGATGTTCCTAACGCAGGATCAGAAGGCCATGCCACGGGAACTCGGCGTCGTCGTGTCAGGCTATCTCGGGCCCGCGGATTGAGAACCAAAACCGGATGGTGAGTGGATACTGCAGTTCGCAATGTCCCCCTAAGCGAATATCAACCTCGCTCACACGTACATCAGCCTCACATGCAGAGAGAGACGCGTGAAGTGCGACGACGGTAAGCCCACTTGTGTGCGGTGCTCCAAGTCAAATCGTGCCTGTCGATACGCCCAGGTTGGTGACCAGGGACATGCGACCGGACCCAGGGCCGAATTTGAGTCTCTAAGGGCCCAGTCTGATTCAAGGGAGGAGAGGAATGAAAACTCGCGTTCTGGGAGAAGCGATACCAATAATGCCGGCGTCGTTCAGGGGGTCCTGCATAGTTCCCAGGGGCAACAGCCGAGTTCTGGTCCAGCACCCTACTTTCAGGCTACCTGCCCAGCCCCTGCTGAAGCCTTCGTTCCGCTCCAGAATAACGGCTCGAGTGAGACGCCACTGAATGACTGTTTGGATAATGATCAAAGACTATCCAGTATTGACTCGAGCTTCTTGGGTTCTCCACTTTCACTTAGCCAGATACCCCTGCTCAACATATCCCCCGGTGAATGGTTCGATCTGGTAGCACGGGATGCCATCAACAACATCCAAAGGCTTAACGATTCTTCGACGGGCGATTCGCGATGGAAGTTTCCCGAAATTGCCCTCTCGCGTAGACAGTCTCCAGCACCTGAATGTTCTGAGGCTCACTCCGAGCAAGCCGAGAGGCACCTTGATCCACAACGATTCGGCCTGGAACGTCGAGATGGCGGAATCGAATCCCCTTTATTAGACTATCACCAATTACCCCAGCCTTGGAACACGACGAGTAGGATAGACTTGTCGCCACTCGACCTCAAGTTCTTTCGATACTTCATCGATATTGTTGGGCCAATTCTAGACTTGTTTGATCCCGCTCGGCATTTCACTAATGTCGTGCCGCATCTTGCACTACGAAACACGGGGCTTTTGAAGTCGATCCTGGCAGTTGGGGCTAAGCATATGTCTCTTGGCCTCATGCATGGGCCGGGTGAACGTGCATCAGGCGAGCATGCGACTCAAAATGCGAATACTCCAGCCTCGCTCGCCGCAGTGACCGACCTGCCACCAGAGTCAGATCCTGCTCCAGCACACATAGCTACACAGTATTACTACGAAACGCTTCAATATCTCTCCCAGACCTTACTCTACCCACCCTATGCGGAATCCCGTGAGATTTTGGCAACAGCCACCATGATCAGCATGTATGAGATGTTTGACGCCGACAACGCCTCAACCAGTGGCGACTGGGAACAACACTTGCGGGGCTCTTTCTGGATACAGCGGTCTCAGGACAATGATGGCGAGTCCGTTGATGGCTTGAGGCGGGCCGTATGGTGGGCATGGCTCCGGCAGGACATTTGGGCGGCTTTCCAGACAGGACGGCCAACCCTCACCTTCTGGCGTGCTCGGAAAAAGCTCGAGGAGCTCGACTCGGATGAGCTCGCAACAAGGATAGTCTACATCTGTGGAAAGTGTGTAGAATATGCCGCATTGGATGGGATGTCGGCGAATAAGGACCCAAGACACAGAACGCAGCAGGGTGACCGACTTCTCCGCGCACTCGACGACTGGCATAGTGTCCTCCCTGCTTCTTACCAGCCGGTCAATGTCGCGACGGATTCTGGCTCAAATACGGTGTTCCCGTCTATATGGATTCACCCGCCTAACCACGCAGGCGCTATGCAGATGTACCATTTTGCAAGAGCTACTGTGCTGCTGAACCAACCCTCAATGGGGGGACTGAACGCCTACTGCCTCCGCGAGAAACAGCTCAGTGAAAGTGTCAAGGTCGTTTGCGGCATCGCTAATGCGTGCCAAGAACATGAGCCTGCAATAGCCTTTGTTAACGTACAGGCTTTGTTTGGAGGTAAATGTCTCTCCTGATCTTTGTGCCCGTCCCTACTGACAAAAGCCAAGTTGGCCAATTTGTTCGGTCGTCTGAAATGCAGCGCGAGTTACTCCGAATCTTAAGAGAGAATGCTGAGGATCAGCAAATTCCCCGGTAAAGGGCTTGTTGCTAAACTCCAAAATGCCTGGCAGGTATAGATTGTAACAACAAAGTTGGCGAACCAGAAACAAGGCAAGGTTCTCCGGACTAAATTAATTCCAAAGGGATCGATGTATTCTAAAAGGAGTTTAATTGAGCTGATTCCAACACGGACCTTTTATGGACCGAGACTAAATACAAAAAGGACTATCGTTATTTCTCAATTGAACCCCACGTCGGCTCGTTATCCGTAGATCATGTCTTTCATTGTTATCATGAACCTCCTCCCTCACCACGCTCCGACAATACCAGCAACCGGAATATCGATTCCAGTAGTGTAAGATGCACCGTCAGAGAGCAGATAAACGTAGGCTCCGCCAAGCTCCTTGGGGTCAGCCAATCTGGGCATGCCACCATAGTATTGCATCTTGAGGTTCCAGTCCGGTGCCTGATTCACAAAGTAGGTCATAGCAGTTTTGATAAAGCCCGGTGAGATCGAGTTGACGCGAATGCCATGTTTGGCCCACTCCATCGCCAGCGTATGCGTCATATTCCGCACAGCACCCTTGGTAGCTCCGTAAGGAGCTGAGGGCGCGGCACGGTTGGGCCGATACGATGTCATGGAAGCAGTGAAGACAATGGATCCCTTGATTCCCAGCTCAATGAAGCGGCGGGCCACAGTCGTGGCGCAGAAGTAGGCACCAAACACGTTGAGATTGAACAGTTGGTCCAGCTGGGCGCGGCTGAAATCGAGCGCGGGCTGGTGCTTCGTCATTCCGGCGTTTGCGATGAAGCCGTGGATGGCGCCTCGTGCGGAGATGACAGCATCGATTGCGGTGTTGACGCTCTCTTCGGAGGTGACGTCGCAGTGGACGTAAGATAAGCGCTTGGGGTTGGCATTTTGCAGGGCGACGAATTCCTCGCCGGGCTCGAACACGTCGAGACTGAAGATGGCTGCTGCCTCGTTGGCTAGGCAGACCTCTGCAATGGCCAGACCAATACCTCGGTTGGCACCGGTGATGGCAATGACCTTGTCCTTCAGGGTGATTCTCCAGTCATGGTCTGGACCTGGCTGTGTATCAAGGAAGGCGGGGGCGGGGGCTGCGACTTCGGCGACAGGGGCGCCTGTGGTGGTGTCTTGAATACTTGGAGGCATTGTTGAGGATGTATTTGTTTGCCGTAATAATTTAGGGACAAAGGGAAGAATTGATAAGCCCTTGGAATGGGACAGCACCTTTTTTAAGTCTGTCATGGCCTTCTGCTCAGCCAAGGGCCTCCGATATCGCCTAAACACATACCGAAGAGCTCGGTATATTGAAGTCGCGTAGGTGTATCGATTAAAGGGGCAGTTCAAATCTCCCCACGCATTGTGGAGGACTGCTACACTACTACCCCGGGCCGACGCACGGTCATTTTCCGCGAGAATAAAGTAAGCGATCTTGTCCTCCAGGGCGTCGAAGCGAGGCCCCTGTCCAACCCCCATGCGATGCCTACACCGGCCGAGACCGACCCTCGCATCGAGGCGGGGACCCCACCCTAAACCCACGTGGAGCTGAGCCCCAGACAGTTGAGCTTCATGCGAAGCTTGTTGGACCTTGGAAATGATCAGAAATCAAATATAACCAGAAGGAAAAACCAGGAAGCAGAATATTATGGAGACAGTCTTGAACTAATGCAAGCTGACCTCCAGGGCTGTCTGTCGGCTCTTTCCTTAGTTGGTGCCTCAGGCAGAACTCAGAACGGGCTCGGGCGGCTCTTTCCCAATCCAACATAAACTCTCTCTCCTCCTTTGTTCCCTACATTCCCTACATTCATAGTGAAGAACTTTTTCCTGATTCTGACCTTAGCTACATATGTATGTAGTTAATCCCACCGGGTTTGACGAGGGCTACACTTGTCTGCTTATTCAATGTGTGTGCTAGAATACTGATCATTGCGGTATGTATTGACTCCCCATGGGGTAAATTCCCTTCTGCGGAGTTTGAAAATATTAGACCCTCCCGGTGGCATGATTGGTGCTGAGCGAGAAGCTCCACGTTGACCTCGATGCGATCACCACACACGCCAATCGGATAGAGTTCCCCCGGCTGTGGAGAGCGGGAATTCGGAGCTTGGGAAGTTGTGGGGGGGATATGGGAAAAATGAGCATGACGGATGAGCGAATGTTGGGATTTCCCCAGGTCCAAAGCCCTAGCTTTGTATATCCGGGGTTGGGGGTAGAACATATACATTCCATAAGGAGGTCCATGTCCAACCTGACATTTTATTCTTTACTCCTCCAAACTTCGGCTCTTTCCAACAAGCCATCATGGACCGCGACTTCGAGAGCCAACTGAAAGATGTCTCCTCTCATGAGATTGAGAATGTGAATATCGCCATCGCCGAGTCTGTCTCGTATAGCCCAGAAGAGGAGAAGGCGTTGGTGAGGAAGATTGACCTCACCCTCCTGCCGACTATCTGGGTCATGTACCTCTTGTCCTACCTGGACAGAACTAAGTGAGTGACAACACGTTAGAGCTAAAGGTCTTATGCTCTGTCGGGGTGCTAACGGGCGTTTTGTATACAGCATCGGCAATGCAAAGATCTCTGGTATGGAAGTAGATCTCAGCTTGTCATCGAATGAATATTCCATTGCCCTGGTTGTCTTCTTCGTCGGATACGTGGTTTTCGAGGTGCCTAGCAAGTACGACAATGCTATCATTGGTATTCTGCATCAGATCATAACCGCTAACCGCCCTTTCCCTGCAGTCTTGTCCTGGGCCGATCCCGACCCTCTATTTTTCTCCCATCAATCATGATTCTCTGGGGTGCATTGACTTGTGTGATGGCTGCTATCAACGATTTCACCCATCTGGTCGTTCTTCGAGTCATTCTTGGATGTGTCGAGGCCGGCTTTGCCCCCGGTGTGATACTTCTCCTGTCATCATGGTACAAACAAACTGAACAGTCCAAGAGATTCGGTGTGTTCATATCTGCGGCCGTCCTGTCAGGCGCCTTTGGTGGCCTGATCGCTGCCGGTATTGTTGATGGCCTTGAGGGCGTTCATGGTATTCGTGGTTGGCGGTGGCTGTTCATTATTGAAGGCGCCGCCACTGTCGGTTTTGCTATCATTTCCCTCTTCATTCTTCCTGATTTCCCGGGTACATCGCGACGTCTCTCTGATCGCGAGAGACAGATCGCTGTGGCGCGCCTGGCTACTCAGAATGTTACTGCTACCACCGAGGATACCGAGAAGCTAAGTAATTGGGGTGCTTGTAAAGTGGCTTGCCGAGACCTTCGCACCTGGACGTTCGTGATTGGATATATGGTTCGAACCGCCCTTTTTCGCCCTTGTTATTAACATCACTAATCGGGCCATCCTGTATAGGTCATCGTCGGTTCAAGTACCCTGACATACTTCTACCCTACCCTCGTGCAAGGACTTTTCGGAGACGCATCCACCAAGAAGATCAATTTATTGACTGTACCAATCTATGGCGTGGCATTTATCGCCACGGGTGTCACATCCTACTTCAGTGACAAGGTTCCCAACTGGCGTGGCGTCATTATTGCTAGCTGGCTGACATTTTCCCTGGTATGTTCGATTATTGTCTGTGTTGTGTACAATTTCACAGCTCGATACGTTCTCCTGGTTCTCATGGCATCCGGCCTTTGGGCCACCAATGGAGGTACACTGGCCTATGCCTCCTCTGCCTTTGGTGGGATGCACCCCCAGGCCCGAGGTGTTGCTTTGGCTATGGTGAATGCACTGGGTAATCTGGCACAGATCTACGGATCGGTACGTATCTTACCAAACCATTTTCCCTGGTAGGCAACACAGCTAACTCGTAGTGCACAGTACCTGTTCCCAGAAAAGGATGGCCCTAAGTATATCATGGGATTCTCTGTCATTTCCGCGATGCTAGTGGTGGGCGTTATTGACTTTTTGTTCTTGCATGTTTGGTTCCGTCGCCGCCAGCGCAACCTGTGATGATACTCTATTGTTGGATGTTGAAAGGAGACCAAGTCCCCTGGATTATGAGTACATGAGTCATTCGTATAACCACAGTGAACATTGCTAGAGGCGATCCTGAAATATATCCAATGTTGCACATGAGTCTGTATGTCTCTCGGAATATAGCTATGACATCCTAACTGAAGATCAATCCGTCATGTTGGCTGCCATTTTGCATATTATTGAGCACAAAATACCCGCTAGTAAATCCAGACATCAAAGGAAGTTCACTCGTGACGGTCTAATAACCTCCGTAAAAGAGACCAATGCTTCCAAGGCGTGATGTTCGGCTGGTGTAAGACACATCTGGTAGTTACGTATTTTGGAATCAACCTGACCACCCACTACCTGAGCCATGTATTTCTTAAGTTGGCACAAGCTATTTCCTCGCTCCGGACCTCTCCAGCGTTAACCTGACGACCAGATTTATCTCGTTAATTGTGCCGGATGATCGCTTCAGGGTGGAATTGCACCGAATATATAGCGTCATTGAATAACAGACTTCTAAGGTTGGAAGTATGATAATCATGCTAGAGTTACCATCTAGCTATGATAACAACAACTTCACCCTTTGGCAATCTGACTGGTATCTCGTGGACGAAGATGATGGTAAAGCTGAGGGTCATTTGGTGGATACTTTGTGAAGGCCTTACCCAACGAGCCTTTGCAGTAAACAAGAAATAAGTACGGAGTAGGAAAATCTAACCAGTTCTAACCCCAGAGACCGGCCTGTAATCGACCTGCACATGTGGCCATTAAGCGAGCCCGTGGCCATTAAGCGAATTCCGAGTCTGCATGGTTATCCGTAAGAATACTGTAAAATTAGCCTGGTATTTGCGATATATAGCTGTAAATTACCGTATTGACTGTGCATCTTCGATCTCGTACCTCGCTTAATGGCCACATACTCTCGCTTACGGACCACATAGGTTCATTCGATTCGATCCAACAGCAACTTAGCATACCAGAGATACTAGAACTACTAGAACTCATTTACCATGGAATAGCCACTACATATGTAGCAAGGTAGCATGGCAACTTCACCATTTTGCCATACCCCAGTTTTTGAGGCTTAAAAGGCCTCACGTACCCGCATAGCTACACCCATCTTTCAACACAATGGAAATAAAAAGGGTGGCTATCCTGATCATCTCCGACGAAGCCTCCGAGGATTCTAGCTTGGACCGTGCGGCTAGAGCTCTTGCGCCTATCCTGGCCAAGGAGGAAAAGTGGGAACTCTCCGCAATTCGCATAGTTCCGAACAACGTTCGCCAGATCCAGCAAGCAGTTTGCGACTGGACGAGTGGACCCAATTGGCACCATCTAGTTCTGCTTAGTGCTGCGACAGGCTTAGCAGCCAAAGACAATACTCTCGAGGTGAGTGGATCGTTGGGATCTTAGCTGGCCAACCGGCTCTCTCGTGTGCTAAGAATATCATATTAGGCCGTCACTTCCTTGATTCACCGACACGCCCCGGGTCTAGTGTGAGTGTACATGATTGCATCTGTGGACTTGGGCTTATTCTAACTATGTAATAACTTGTCTAGCCAGGACATGATCGCTGAGTCTCTGAAATCCACTCCATGTGAGATGATATCAGTCCTCCCCTTTGATTATATACATCCCAGCTCATTCACTTCCAGTCGCAAAGTTGGAAAGACCTGTTGGTGTTTGTGACAAAACTTTGATTGTCAGTTTACCAGGGTCACCCAAAGGAGCCATGGAGAATCTTGAAGCCGTTATGAACCTCCTCCCTCGTGTCATCCCGCAGAACCCTCGTCTACCACAACCTCAACTTCAACCCTATCACCATCACCACCATGCCCATGGCCATCCCATCCGCAAACCACACACATCTCCACAAGACCGTCCCCGATCCAAATCCAACAGACCCGCCATGGGCCTCAATCAGCGCTACCGCCCTTGTGCCAATCCTATGCTTTCGGTAGAGGAAGCATTACGCGTGATCCGCGAGCAAACCCCTGCACCCATTGTGGTCGAAACCCCTGTCACCACTTCCATCATCGGCTCCATCATTGCCGAAGATGTCTATGCCAGCGAGATGGTACCGTCGTACCCCACCAGCCTTGTTGATGGCTACGCCATCATTGCTGAAGGAGGCAAATCCACCAATGCCATTTTCCATAGCGCTTCGATCACCCTCCCCAACATCAGCGGAGCCTTCGAGCCCCTACATCCAGGAACCATTGCTAGAATTACCACCGGCACGTCCCTCCCTCCCAATGCCAACGCCGTGGTTATGTTCGATGACACAGCATCCTCAACCCTAGATGGCCAAGACGAAGAAATTGTCGAAATCCTGGCCGATGATATCGTCCCAGGTGAAAATGTCAGCGAGCCCGGCAGCGAAGTTGCGCTCAACTCAAAGATCCTTTGTCGTGGCGACCTTATCTCCCCAGTCGGCGGCGAAATAGGTCTGCTGGCTGCCACGGGCACGCGAACTGTCAAAATATTCAAGAAGTGCCGGGTGGGCGTTCTCAGTATCGGTGGCGATCTCGTGGAGCATTCGAACCCGTCTACCCTCGTTAGAGGCCAGATACGCGACTCTAACCGTCCATCCCTCCTATCCTGCCTAGCTTCCTGGGGCTTTGAGACCGTGGACCTTGGCCTGGCCCGTGAGATTGCAGCAGGCGAGGTCGAACACACCCTTCGTGACTCCCTATACGGTGTAGACCGTGCATTCTCTGGCGTGGACGTGCTCGTAATCACCGGCAGCATGTCCCTGGGTAAGCTAGACTTCACTCCCATCATTGAGAGTACACTCGGTGGCACCATTCACTTTGACCGTGTCTCCATGAAACCCGGCATGACCACTACCTTCGCGACGGTACCATTCAAGGCCACCACAGCCGATGCAGCTACCGCGAAGGTCCGGCAGAAGCACGCTTCAAAGCTGATATTTTCGCTCCCTGGAGACCCAGCCTCGACGCTAGCTACCCTCAACCTCTTCGTCCTGCCTTCCCTCCAAAAGTTTGCCGGCCTAGGCGAGTCTTCCCAGGCTATCGCTACCAAGCCGGGGCTTACGCCGCAACTGGGTCTCCCTCGGGTTGCGGTCGTCTTGACACACCACTTCCCCCTCGACCCTAAGCGCACCGAGTACCACCGTGCTGTCGTGACGGGCTCTCGTTCGGACGGCCGACTATATGCTACGAGCACTGGCGTTAATTCCGTAGGCAGTCTTTCCAAGGCTAATGCTCTAGTTATACTCCGTGCGGGGCGGGGTGTTGGGATCAAGGGTGAAATCGTGGAGGCGATGATGATGGGTCCTGTCTATGCCTCCGATACCCGCATTATTTGCTAAGACTGCGCCCACCTTACAACAAAATGACCTGTGTAAATGGAGGCGGCATTATTCTGAGTTTTACACTTCTTCATGTATCTACTGCGGTTTTGGGGAACTAAGGTCATCCATGACCCTCAAAAGATTGTATCTAGCGTGTGAATTGGCTACTTTTGCCGAGTTACAAAATGTGGCAATTTATGCAAGTCACAAATACCAATGCACCCGTGGACTCTATAAGCCAAATCTAAGGGAAGAAAAGAGAACAATAACGGGCAACAAGTCATGACCTTAGTCAAACAAGTCGACCATCCTGAAATCCAACTAATGCGTAGGAGCAGCTGCGCATCGTAGGACCTTTTATTTGGTACACATTACCATTTGTGTAGTGCTCGATCTCAAAGTTGATGCGAGGGCTAAGGGATCGCTACTGAAAGAGACCTTAATGAAGAAGGACCATGAGACCCCTATAACACAAAGTGGACGGGCAGAGAGGAAGAAAGGACCGAGACAGAGAGCAACTATCTGCCTACATAATATTAAGGATCTGTCCTACCTAGAGGGCGTGTTTATCCCAACTGCAAACCTTCTAAGGAAACCACCGCGTTTCCTTCCCCCACACAAATACCCGTTCTACAGCAGTATCCAATCTTGAAGCAACGATGAAACTCATAATAGCTGGCGCAACCAGTCTCCTAGGCACCGAGATTGTGAGACAAAGCCTGCAAATTCGCGAGATCACCCAGGTCGTTTCTTTAGCTCACCAGCCGGTACAGCTCGACAAAAGTACCGACACATCGAAGTTGAAGAAAGTTGTCATCCGAGACTACAGTGAATACCCTGATGACGTGAAGGCGGAGTTTGCTGGGGCCGACGCTTGCATTTGGTGTGTTCAAGGCAGCACCTTCATTGTCTTACAAGACTGACTACAACACTTTCGTGTACCTGCAGGACTGTTGCCTCCACGCCCTTACGTACCGGCAAGGTCGAACTCAAGCGTCTATGCCAGGATTATACCAAGCTCGGATTCGAGGCCATATGCGAGGCTGGACCGGCACGTCCCTTTCGCTTTATGTACTTGAGTGCGGAGGGAATACCTCGAGACCCAACCAAGATCCCAGTAATCATGCCAGATTACCATATTATGCGAGTAATGAGTTAAGCACCCACCATACCTTCTGGATCTTATGCTAATGTCGTGTTTTTGGTAAGCTAGTGCAACACAGAGCTCATGGTCCTCAAATTCCCTACCGAGAAAGAGGGAGTTGAGGTTTGCATCGCCCGGCCCGGCGTGATTGCTAACTCGTCGGCTTGGTCAAGAGCTTTGGTGGCCAACCTTTTTCGTATCGTCAATCTCTTTGGACGGCCCCTTCCGAATATACAACGGAGTCAGCTCGCAGCGGCAGTGTTACACCAGGTCATGGATGGGTTCGAAAAGGAAACACTCTCGAATGCCGACCTCGTTCGAATTGGACAAAGGGAGCTGAAATTTCGCAGTATACCTCAGCCTTCATGAATCATTTCTAGGGAAGGTCATAAGATTCGGACATCGCTTTATGCTTTTCATCTTGGTTACTGGAAAGTCTAAGGACTTGATATCAGGTTGAGAAGAATCCGAATTGGATCCTCAGATGCAACAAGTGTGACAAGTGTGACAAGTGTGTTCCTTTGCCAGGAGGCTCGAGGGAAATTCAAGATGCGTTGAGCAGAGGGATGGAACTTCCCAGTCTCAGAGCAGTCCTGTTTTTGGGGAAGGCGCGACGTCCACGGGTCCCATTATAAACCCCCAGGAATATTGGCTGTATGCAGCGGTGGGAGACTGACTGCGGTTGCAAACTGACTTCTGCTCTTTTACGATTTGAGAAATATCACCATGCACCCACTGGCCAGGAGGCGTTGGTGGCAACTAACACGACATGTGGCCGGCCTCGCTCTAACGAGAGCAATTGATGTCGAGTTGCAGTGTCTCTAATCGAAGCGAGTGGTTTCTGCGATGCATTTATTCCTCGTATAGAGAAATACCCAGAGCATATATGAACAAGTAGAGGTGTTCGATACACTGTCCACAGGTGGCCAATCCAGACCCAATAGCATTTGGGGCAAATTTCTCCCAAAGGATAGGCCATCTTGACAATATCAGACTTCATTTTATTGTAAGGTGTCAAACATCGACTACGGACTGTGCCTGTCTGACCTAGACCAAATATCAAGACCACACCATAACAATGTTCCAATCGATGGATATATCTCTATATTTGACATCCCCACCGAGAGGCAACGTCCATGTGGGTAGGCAACCCCAAATGCCATGAATAGTCATGATGACGAAGTACGATCCCCCCCAGCATAAAACTATGGCCACATGTCCAAACACCGTCAAATCCCCAACACCATCATTGTACATTGTTCAATCCATATTCCATAACTGAAATTCCAAAATCCCATCAAAATGGCCAACCGCTCCAATCCCCAAAACGAGCAGAACGGCAACTCAGAAATGAAAGATCCCGTCCAACCCGGATCCTCATCCTCCGACATCGACGAAAGAATGAGTACGCAGCTTGCCTTGAACCGTTCCGCGCATACTTCCGTGCCTTTATCTTTTCCATACCTGCTGACAACAAGCCCAGCCCGGGATTACGAGAAGGCCATTGATGAAACCAACGTCATCAGCGAAGATCGCCTTCGTCGCGCGATACCTCAGTCCTCCACGTCGTACCATGAACCAAAGGAGGATACATTTGATATTTCTTGGCGGCCGGATCCATCGGGTCATCCGCGGAGGACGTTTTAGGTGTATAGGGTATAGTTGGTTCTTTCTTTGAGGTTAAAGAATGAACTTGTCTTTCATTCACTTCACATCTGGTAGTATCGACTTGCGGGGCGTAGATGCCTGGATTGCTGGGGATCCCTATATATGGGCTATTAAGAGATTCGAAACAATGCTAGTTGTAGACCCTAGTGAGATGGGTGATGGCTTAGCCTCCATATCGCGATTGGCGGGAGAGTGTTAAGTCGACGTTAAACCCTACTGGTCAAGAGACGCTGACCCCGGATTCCGGACCAGGGTCATCATGCAGGCAGGCGGGTACATACATGCAAATTTCGAGATCGCCTGCATAGCGGGAGATCTACGATCTCGCACGGGCCTTCTACGCGGCATTAATGTGGAAGAATCGGGAGAGACAAATATGTAAATCGTGTAAACGTGAGGTTATCTCGCGGAAATTCAAGTAAATGCTATATGTACATGAGTCATGTCGAACGCCGTCCCAATTTGTGCAATCCACCTCAAAGCTTTCCTTGGGCCTCCTTGGCCGCCTTGGCGTGACGCTCGAAAGAGGACACGGGGGGAGCGGAGTTGGGGTTGGGGTGGTGCTTCTTGAGGGCCATCTTGACATTGTACTCCAAGTCGAGGGTGGCCTTGGGGTCGTTGGTCTTGGGCTTGAAGTCCACGACGAGATCATCCTTGACCGCGAAGACGGAGTCGATGGCGAGATGGGGGTCGTCGCTGGGGTAGATCTGGTTGATGACAGTGGCGTATTCGGGGTGGGTAATCATGAGGTGGATGTGAGCGGGACGCATGGGCGAGCGGTCCATGAGTTTGAGGAGGACACCGGCGGGGCCGTCGGTGGGCAGGGAGTAGGGAGTGGGGTGGTAGCAATACCAGTTGAATTCTCCCTTCTCGTTTGATCGGAACTTGCCGCGGAGGTTGTTGTCGGACTGGGTGGGGTCCTGGAAATCGTATTGGCCGTTGGCTGAGGCTTGCCAGATGTCGAGGACGGCGCCGACGATCGGCTTTCCGGTCTCCATATCCCTGAGGACACCGTGCATGTAAGTGACACGGCCATTGGGCTTGGGGTCCTGAATGATGCTGTCGCCGAGAGCGCGGAAGGGGGCGTTGGGAGACCAGAAGGGGCCGAGAATGACGTTGGAGGTAGGGGAGACACCGTCCTCGGTGACGATCTTGTTGGCGATCTCATCGACGAGACTATGAAATCAGTTAGCTTTCATTTTGGTTTTCTCGGTTTTCTTTATTTTTATTTTTATTTGCGCAATAAAAATAAAAAATAAAATCAGATGCGAAACTTACGACTCGAGGCCGATCACGTCACAGATGCGGTGGCCTTCATTGCGGATAGGAGTGCTAATCTGACCGATAGAGTTGATGAACTCAACGCCGAGCATCCACTCGGCGGAGGTCAGTTCAACCTCCCGAGCGAAATCGTGAATGTGCTTAATAAGAGAACCCAAGACCACGCGAGCGCGCTCGGGAGTGTTGGGGCCCATGCCATTGATGACAGAGGGGGTGAAGTTGGGGTCGAACTGGCGTGTGGGAGACATTGTGTATATTATTTTGAAGATAGTTAAAATAAAAAAGGTCAACTCAGGGCGACCTTTCCAGGTCTATATACATGGCGAACGGCATATCGTTCGGCTGGTGATGGATGTGGGGAAATCGCAACGGTGCCAACTGCGTAGAAATCCCGTTGCCACCTGCCGAAGTGTTGTGATCGCGTGAATCCCAGATGGTCCCATACTGGCATCGGTCAGCCCTCAACAGCCGAGTGGCGGCTCGTCCCCTAATATACCAGCGCGGGGTGGCCGGGGTAGCTCTTATCCGCGGGTAAGCCCCGGGAGCTGCATATCCGTTTTCACCGCCTTTTGATTGGTTCGGCTTTTGCTTTGGCTGAACTTCCGGATCACGTGTAATTATGTAAGACATCCGGGGCCGTGGATTCCCCGGGGTTAAGAAGGGATATTCTTGAGTATACTGTACGTGACCACGTTGACAGCGGGTTTACCATGATGAGCAGCTCCACAATGACATAAAAGTATATTACTTGTTCCTTTGGGGCATGTTGGTATTTTGTTTGCTTCCGACCCTGAGCGAGCATAGAATTGTCTTCTAGCGTCATGCATCTCTATGTAGCTCTTAAAGTGAAATGCGGTTTTAGATGCAATGGTGTTCATATATGTTAGGCTCCCAGTGTGATTATCATGAATATTTGATTTGATATTGAACATTATCACTGGAGATCGACCGGTGTGTACATGTATGTATGTCCACGTAGTTTGCTACGGTTGCGCCTTACTCCCCGAGAGGGCCATTATTGTCTTTTTGCCGAGCACGCCAGCGCAGAAATGGTCCACTTGGTAAATAACAAGGCTAAATCCAATTCAAAAAGTTCCAGCTCGCGTCCAAAATTATAAGCTAATCATAAAGCGATGCAACAGAAACAGAAACACTTCTCACTACGATCACCAAGCCAAAACCGCTTTCTGAGCTCCACAGGCCAGAGAAGCACAAATCTGCTCGTCCTTCTCACTAACCCCTGCATTGCATGACACCTTCGGTTTCGCCGGCCAGATCTCCCGCCCCTCGGATTTCTCACGCTCAAAGTGCTCCGTGATGACGTCGCGGACTGTGCTCTGGAAGAACAGTGGCGCCTTCTCGTACTTGGGATGAAGCTCACCACTCGTAAAGACATTTCGGTCGAGGTTCTTCTGAGCGTTGTTGCAGAGGACTTTGTCTTCACCCATGACGCGCGCGTACATATCACTGATAAGCTTGAAGTCGGCATCGGAGGAGTTTCGGTTTCGGTAGATTTCGTAGGCCATCTTCGAGCTTTTTGCGCTTGAGGAAGGGAATTTCTGGACCATGATAAAGTGTGGCCTGTGTATGTTAGAGGATCTTCTATAAGAAGGTAGAAACTGGGAACACTAACGAGACAACCATGGCAGACATAGGGAAGTAGTAGGTACTTGCTGTGTAAAGACCCTTCTCGATTTGCTCTGGCGTAGACTCACAACGGTGTTGGATGTGTCCATCTTTCAGCTCGCTGTCGAAAGATTCCAGGTTGAGGAATTCAGGAATATCGGCGTGTGTGGTAGGGCAGTGGTAGCATTCGTTGAAGTTATCAGCCAGAATCTTCCAGTTGTAGTCACCCTCGAGGGCATAATCGTGGTCGAAATCGTAGTTATCGAAGTTGTAGGCTTTATACCGTTCTTGCTTGTCGACGTCCCGGAAATGTTCCTCCCACGACACTTCTGGGACTTCATTCGCATCCATGTTTACCCAGATAAAGCCATTGACGTCGACCTTAAGATGGATTCTGAAAAGACCATTCTGCTCTTTGTCAAAGTCGCTCAGCTCTTGGTAGTTCGTAGCTTTGGCAAGTTTGCCATTCAATCCGTAAGACCAGCCATGGTATCGGCAAGCGAGGATTTTGGAATTTCCGGAACCCTCTTTCTCGACTACAGGGTACGCACGGTGTCTGCACACGTTATGGAATGCGTTGATGTCGCCCTGTCGGTCACGAGTGATGATGAAGTCGAAACCTGCAAGCTCGTAGCGGAGCCAGTCGCCAGTGTTCTTCAACCGCATGCTGTGGGTGATAAAGAGCCATCTCTTCGAAAATATGGCCCGGCGCTCCAACTCATACATCTCTGGTGAAGTATACCATGATGCAGGCAAGGCACGGACTGGGGAAGCTTTAGTTTCTTCTTTGGGGGCAGGGGCATTAAAGCCAAAGTAGTTGAGCATTGAAGCCATGAAGTAATAAGAAGGTACAATGGAGAATGTCTTCTAGTCTTTGTTGCTCTACTGGTCATCATCAGGACCCCTTTATATGCTTGAAAACATTTGATATTGGACTGGTAGCCATGTCTATACTCCGATCATATGGACGGCCTGGATCCAATTTGGTAGGGCAAACCCATGGCGAGGCGGGTGGATGTTCCAAGAACAGATACCGAACCCGCCAATCCGCCACCACAGTACTAGAATGTGTACTAAAAACAGGTTGATTTAACGCCATGATGTATTATTGAGTCAAACGTTATCAAACCCGACATATACTCAGGCGGATACTCGGGCAGATATCTCGTAGTCCATGCTACAGCGGGTTTGCTAGAGCTGGTCATGCATACTTCGAACGCCGGTCGGGTTTTATGGCCAATTGAAGTTTGCATAAATAAGATGCATGGGCACTGGTGTTGAGCTATATTATTGCCGATGGAATCACGAGGACTCGGGTTCCTCAAATTGTGGAGATGAGTGACTCCTACGGAAAACAACATTCTTGACCAGTGTGGAGGGCTGCGCATCGTTCTGGTTTCCTTATCTTGTTTGGTATTTGACGGAACAAAAGATGAGAATCTTCCGTCTTGCCTAGATTTGGAGTTAGAAGGGACTGCTTGAGGATAAGTTGGTGGCTATGGGAGATCGAGGTGATACGTATAGTCCATAGAACAATGTGGCTGAAAGGACACGTCACAGACTTTGTATCACCTACAGGTAGTTTGCAAATGTTTAAGTATTGTTATTGTAAACAAGAGAAGCTAGAACATATACCACGTCAATAGCAACCATTGAACACAGGAGTTGTCCCTCGTGATGCAACTATCTTTCCATTTTAGGCTCACCCCTCGCCGCTTTTGCTCCAGCACAAGTACCCCTCTCACGACATCAGTGAGCATTATGTGACTAAAGAAACAACCAAGTGGCTTCATCCGTATAAATGGCCCTCCCACTTTACATTCCGCTTTGTATTCACACTCCCGCCGGCCGGTATCACCTCCCACCGTCTGATCAGCCGCTCAGAATCCAAATCGAAGGTCCCTTAATCGCCATACAAAGGCTCCTACCACATATCTCGTGGCGTCTAGGCTTTATAGACCGAACATTCCCACAGCTAGCAGGCCCAGAGCTAGCACGGTTAACGTATCAAACCATATACGGACGGGACGTTAGTCCGGAAGTCCCAGGTGATCTGGTGGTGCAGGATGAGTACTTGGGCTGGATGCCAGAGAAAGTATCCGGAGGCGTAAGTCTATCAATCTCTCCTCGTGGGAGCAACTAGCTGTGATGTCCCTATGGCTAACCTAAGTAGGCTGGTCGACTATTATGGTGTAACATTTGACCATCTTGTCCCAGCTGACGATATCAACCCTGAGGTCTTACAGATTAACATCATTGAGATTGAGGATGACAATGGTGTTTATGCGAATACATGGCTTTCATTTGCAGTAGACCCGGCTGAGTTTATTGGGAAGAAGGTGCTAGCAGTGCCGAGGTGTTGCCAGAAGAGGAAGGGAACACAAGATCGCTGGCGAGTGAATCCGCTTGTGGACCAGAGGATTCATGGGTTGGAACATTTGAAGGACGCTCAGGAATGGAAGAGGCTGACAGAAGATCAAGATGCGAAAATTGAGAACTTGAATTGATATACAGTCACATTCCTTGCCAGGACCCATGGCCAGCCCTTTTCAGAATCAACCCATGTGAACCGAATTGAGCCTGGGTCGTCCAAGGCATAATCGTCCTCTTCATCGTCACGTTTTTCTCTCTTTTAGTCGTATTCACATAAATCGTCTTTGGCGGAAAGTAAATTGTTTCGTCAGGGCCAGCAGACAAAACATACACTGTACTGCCACGATTTACTGATAACTCTAATGCGATGTTGAATCTTCATTCCAGCATCAAAGGTCTCGCTTCTTCGCCTCACGCAGTTCAGCTCGCTCTTTCACTAAATTCGAAATCGCATTCCCGGTATCGCCTCCTAACTTCGCGAATCCCTGGATCACACCCTCACGGTCCCCGGGCCGCATTTCCTGGCTCATCTTAAACTTTCCCTGAAGCTTGGTGATTCGAATCTCAATCCCAACAATGTTCTTCTTCAGCAAGTCAGTGTACGACTTAGGCGCCTCGGACACCTCCCACGGCTCTGGTTCCTCGCCACCAGTGTACCCCATAATTGATTTTTCTGTATGCTGCGAGAGATCATGCAGTTGTTTGGCGAGGAACTCGCCGGTCTCAGGTGTTTTGGAGTCATAGTATAGCGACATCTTGCCGTAGGCCTGGACGGCGGAGTAATTCCATGTGGGCACGACCTTCCCTGTATCTGGCTTTGTCTCGACGTAGAATTTCGGAGTCACGTAATGGTCGTGCTTGCCATTGAAGAGCACTAGGACATCGTCGTCGAGTTCAAGGACGTTCGGGGGCTTGTTATCCACAGCCTCCATCATCGTCTTCACTTGAGGATTCTGCTTGGCGATGTGGGCGCGGAGATAGGGGTCTGTTTTGCCTGTTTCCTCTGGGAAATCCACCACAAATGGGGCATGCGTGCACTGTAAGAAGTCTTGCTGGGAGGAGTTCATGCCGGTGATTAAAACCCCGAGTGGGTTTTGCCGGATGAAATGGAGCAAGGCTTCTTTGTCTTTCTCCTCATGGGCGCTTTGGAAGAACATTTTGTATAGCAGCTGGAAGGTAGGTGTGAGAGTATGGAGTTGGAAGATGAAAAGGCGTAAAGACAATTGTGTAGGAACAAAATGACTCAAATCAAGCCCACCAAATCTCACATTATCGTATCGGTGATTTGTTATCAGTGGCCAAGGATTCGTCCGCTAAAGGCATGTCCAACCGGCACCTGCAGAGGCCCGGGAAGGTGCAGGGACTTTTGACATTTCCCCATCGGAGTATCAAATGCCCGAGAAAAGGCCTTGAGAATTCACGTACGATTCTGATTACATCCATTATTGATAGTGGAAGAACCTGATATCCATACCAGAACAGAAAAACAGTGTTGTCCTGGATTGTAGCAGTCTAACTCCTTTTGGCTAGTATCATTCACATGGACCAGATTAGGTATAGCGGCATATGTCGAGCTGCTATTGGCTACCCCTGTTGGTGATCCACTTTTCTCAATCGAGGTACAATCCAGGACGCAAGGACATACTTTAATTTGTTTCATTCGCTCAAGTCACAGAGGACCTTTCTGCCGATGATATCAAAATCAACTTACCCAATAGTGTCTATGAAGGCGATGTCTGCGCCTGTGCTTGACTTAATCATGCTCACTTTACGAGACTAAGATCTCCAACCATTGTTTTTCTCAAGCATCCTGCGATAGTTGCGGGGATCAGAAGAGACATACGGAAGTGACGAATGGATCCAGGGAGGTGCCACTCATACGATTTAAACCATTGGGAAGTGGCAACATGGAAGGGGATGCATGAATGTAGCTACTTCCAGCCCGTTTCTCTTACTTGTGGTTTGTCTACGCAAATAGATTCTGTCACTTACGCAAAGAGCAGCAGTGGGTTCGGGCACTTATATGCTTTCCAAAACGGTGCGAAGAACGTCAATTTTAGGCTCTTTAGTGTGGTGGATACCGCGGGAGCTTGCCTGGCGCAAAGTCAATCCTAGACGCCGTCTAGGGGCTAAGTTGGGTACCTAGGTAGATCTAAGAAGTCCGGGTCGGCTGTATACCCTAATATATCAGAACTGACTTGTGTCAGTCGTACCTTTGCCAGGTATTTCTTTTTAATGGACCAATCTGCCTTGGTTTAAGATATTGTCGACACGAGCAACGCATAATTGAGAGGCAAGGTCCAGCCTCATCAGTTATGATTTTCAAAATAGGGAACGAAACATACAGTACCGGTGGTAGAAGGAAGGTTGTTGAAACCATCGATCTACCAGGTTCATGCTTTGACATTGGGGCTGTCTGGTATTATTACGTGACATTCAAGACCACCGCCCGGGGTAAGCAGCACTGTTGAGGAAGTTGCCCCTGGCTGCAGAGTATGTATGTTGTGGTGAGATATGAGAGTTAAAGTGGGGAAAAGCGCAAATCAGGTATCTTAATGGATTCTTACGAGACTACTTAATATGGGGCTTGAGACACTATCAGCAAATGTGGGTTGGGTATAAACTGAGCCCAATTCTGTAAGAGAATCATTCATTCGATATATACCTAGGTAAGATAGGGTGGTAAAGTGAGGGTATAGATTTGAACACCGTAACAAATTGCCAAAAGAAAAAGGACATCATAGAAGCCTAAAGGGACCAGAACCAAGACTCCATCGCTCCAAAGCAGAAGCCACATGCGTAAAACATAAAGATACGCCGGTTTTTGATTGTCAGCAGGTCGTGAGACCTCCCCGCATATAACAACCGAATCCCATTGACTAACAGTCAATGGGATTAAAGTAGAATATCAATCAAACAGAGAAAACGTGAGGATGTTCCGGCATGCGGGTCCACGTTCAGAAACATGAACGCAGCTCGAGCGGCACATCTTCTTATAATTGACATCATAATTCGTCGAGGTCATCTTCGCCATTCGTCATGAAGCATTACATTGATGCAAGACTAGCAGATCCTGCAGCCGCAGATCCCCAGCGCAGTTTTCGGAGTCCGCCGCGAACCGCTTCTTGGCCACACCCTACCGAAGGGCGAGGGCCAGGAACACCATCTCCCATCATTCCCACCTCAGCTCGCCCGACCTCACGGCCGATCATATACCCAGCGGAAAAGCTGATTGCGGAGAATAGAACGACGACCCCGGCGCTGATGACCCATGTCATGATTGTGGGGCTGACAGTCGTTGCTGGATCTGTCATGCTCACGCGACGACTCTTCTTTGAGGCAGTACCACGGTCTTTAGGGGAACTTGAACGACGCTTTGCTTTGGCGACAGCCGGGTCAGACGACACCGCTGGCGCTCTTACATGTCTCTGTGGTGCTTCTATTGATGGACCTGATTCTGGATACCGCGGCGAGGATGAGGTCTCTTCATCGCTGCTCTCCTCTCCCATAGCAACTGACGCACCTACTAGTCGGAATGAAGCGGGTTGGCCGCCTCCAGAGGGAGCAGCTGGGGTAGGTGACGGTCGATTGTCATTCTTTGGAAGGCCTCTGGCGGCAGCCGCACATGAAAGAAGTGTTGATAGGCTGGCACGAAGGGCAGCATCGTGGTCGGCATGATGGGAAGGGGAGATCACATTGTAAGGGCTGTGTTGGTATTGAGTTCTGCGCGATGATTGTGGACTAGGGTAAGATCCTCTTCGAGAGGCACGGTGACTAGAGGTGGACGGGACATTTGGTTGAGAACGCCGCGCAGTCCACCCGGGTTCTGACCTTGCAGGTGGGTGGGTGAATATGTTTGGTTGAGGTACGAAAGGTGACGGGCTGATGCCCATCCCCAAGGCAGTAGAAGTATCATCTTCATCATCGCTAGGGGCAGCATCCGAACCTGAGGAGGGAGGTACAGAGCGCGCAGATAATGCAGCCGGGAGCGTTGGGCGGATTATATCTTCATTCGAGCTGCTGAGAACGCGATCAGACTCACTCTCGCTCTCCTCGTATTCCTCCTGACTGCTACTGGCTTGGCTGGCATCGCGCGATGCATAGTCCACCTGGGCTGTGGTGATAGCAGCAAGATGTTGTAGACGGCGTCGCCGATTGCGGCGCTGGTGCGCTCTCCCTTCGCCATACTCGACCTGTAAGCCGGTGGTGATTATATCTTCATTCGTAGCAGCAGAGGAGAAGGAGGAAGAGGACGGTTGCGAGGACACGTCAATCCAAGAATCTATGTAGTATCGTAGTGAGTACATTATGGAGACCTGAAAGCAATTTTGTATGCATATTGAAAGTTTCACCGGCAGGGGAGGTACCAGTCGGATTATAAAAAGGACCACATACCCTCTGATCTCATGGGCGCCGCACCAGATGGCTGGGGCTGACCGTTATCTCGAAGCGGCTGATGGCCATCACGCGTCATCCGACTTGCGGCTCTAGGCTCGCGCGCCTGACCCAGCAGGTCGGAGTGATTTGGTTGCATAGCCGGAAGGTTGAAGGAATATGAAAGCAGAATATGCGAGGAGACGGTATGTGAACAGAAATATAGAAGAGAGGGGATCAGGCCACTCTGGAGTACAAGAGAGCGGTCAACGTGGAGGGGGAGGTGATCTTATCAAATGTGGAGTCGACGATCACTGATGCCCAAAACACTTCATACTCCTTCCCGCACACAGGAACCAGGAGTTAAAAAGAGTTAAAAGGAACTAAAATAGATAGATTAATATTGGGAAACAGAAAAGAAGACAAAAGAAAGATGAAGAGAGCCCTAGGTGGAAAGATTCGAAATGATGAGGTGATCAGCAGACCGAACAGGTGATTTACAGCCCGTGACGAGGCAAAAGGGCGAAAGATGATGTGAGGGGTTGCCGGTGACCAATGGAGAATATCGAAGTTCTTATTGTAGAATATGAGGATTCCAAAAGCTCGCAGAGACCTCCTTTCATCAAAACTTCGATGGAAGAAGCAGAAATCAATGAATCAACGTACTTACCTAGCTGGTAGGCAAAACAAAGAATGCGGGGAAGGCGGCTTCCAGTGGCAATATACTGACCGATAGTTCCAGAACACAAGATGGAAAAAGCGGATGAAGTTCAAAGTCGACCAGAATGAAAATTGAAATGACGTATCAAATTAAAGATACCTGAGCTAAGATCATATTACACATAATTAAACACGAACTTTTTTCTCTCAAAGAGAACCTGAAACCCATGGACACCAATATGTTGCGGAAATCAAACGTATGCAGTGAAGAACATCAAGTTTAGAAGGTGACCTTGGTACCCTTGTACTCAGGGATGGAGCCCTTACCCTTGTTAAGGGCACCACCACGGCCGCCACGGTCACCGAAGCCACCGCGGCCACCGCGACCACCACCACCACGTCCACCGAAACCACCACCACCGCCGCGACCGCCGAAGCCACCACGGCCACCGCCGCGACCACCACCACGGCCGCCGAAGCCACCACGGTCACCACCGGCAGGACGGGGAGTAGAAGCCGAGACGGACGGCACGGCCCTCGAGCTCGTGGCCGTTGAGAGCACCGTGGGCAGCCTTGGCCTCATCGATGGAAGAGAACTGAACGTAACCGAAGCCCTTGGACGGCCGGTCTCCTGCTCAGTGGGGAGACGGATTCCGAGAACGGAGCCGTGGGCGCCGAAGACCTCGTGGAGAGCATCCTCGGTAGCGCTGAAGGGAAGGTTGCCAACGAAGAGAGTGTCGCTCTCGGGGCTGGTCTGGTCACCGTAGGAACGAGCACGGTCCTGGGTACGGTCCTGCTGGGGGTTGGCCTGACGGGGAGCGGCGTAGTCGAGGTTGATGGTGCGGCCATCAAGATCGGTACCCTTCTTGGCCTCCATGGCCTTGGCGGCATCGGCAGCGCTGGTGTACTCAACGTAGCCGAATCCACGGGAGCGGCCAGATTCGCGGTCGGTAACGATGCGGACACCGGAGAGCTCACCGAACTCGGAGAACTCACGCTGGAGCCACTCCTCGTCGACGTTCCAGGACAGGTTACCAATGAACAGGTTGGCGGAAGCACCCTCGGGAGCATCCTCGGTCTTGGACTTCTTGGCAGCGGCGGCAGGCTCTTCATCAGCCTTGCGCTTCTTGGAGACAGGGGTTTCCTCGGAGTCGGAGTCAGAGTCAGAGCTGTCAGAGTCGGAACCAGACTCGGAGTCGGAAGAGGCCTTCTTGGCCTCGGACTCAGACTCAGACTCAGAGTCGGAAGAGTCGGAAGACTCAGCCTTAGCAGCAGCCTTCTTCTCGGTCTTCTTAGGGGCGGGCTTCTCCTCCTCGGACTCGGACTCGGAGTCAGAGTCAGACTCAGAGTCGGAAGAGTCGGAAGACTCAGCCTTAGCAGCGACCTTCTTCTCGGCCTTCTTGGGAGCGGGCTTCTCCTCCTCGGACTCAGAGTCAGAGTCGGAAGAGTCGGAAGACTCAGCCTTAGCAGCAGCCTTCTTCTCAGTCTTCTTAGGGGCGGGCTTCTCCTCCTCGGACTCGGACTCGGAGTCAGAGTCAGAGTCAGAGTCGGAAGAGTCGGAAGACTCAGCCTTAGCAGCGACCTTCTTTTCGACCTTCTTCTCGGCCTTCTTGGGAGCGGGCTTCTCCTCCTCAGACTCAGACTCAGAGCTGGAGCTGGAGGAAGCATCCTTCATATCCTCATCGGACTCGGACTCAGACTCGGAGGAGCTGGGAGTAGGCTCCTTCTTCTTGTTCTTCTTGGAGGCCTTCTCCTTGGAGGCAACCTTGCTGGCAATAGCCTTGCTCTTGGCGGCGGGGGACTGGGAAGCCTTGGTGACACCGGCATCCTTGACCTTGTTCAAGGCCTTGCTGGCCTTGACGGCCTTATCGGCACCCTTGGTAGATGTCTTGGACATATTGAACTGGAGGAACGACAAAACGTTAGCTATTGCTCTTGAATATAATTGAGGGAACTCAGGGAGAGGGCTTGGGAGGCTGGCTTGTAGCTTGGGTAGGGTGGCACATACTGTAGTGACAAGTGAAATTCTTGTAGTATGTGCGGCAAAGCCCACGATCCCTCAAAGCACCCGTGTATTGGATGTGTAAAATGGAACAACAGCCCTCAGAAGAACTGCCAGAGTGAACTAAATCACAGCTGGACGTTAACCCACTACCCACGGACGGACAAGTTTTCAAGCCCACAAGCAATAGACAGCCAATACTGTCTAGAATATGTAACCCACGAGGAAAATGTCCCACAGAGCCCACAGAATAGATGTAATGTCAAGCCCACAGCCCTCAGAGTGATAAGAAGCCCACAGAGTATCCGAACGAACTTACGAGATAGAACCCACGCGACTGCGTTAGTTAGTGTGTAGAGATCTCTTGGATAGTCAAGAGATGATATAAGTAAAGCAACCTGAAACAGACTGCTTTTGGGAGGGAAATAAAAAAAAATAGTAAAGAGGATGGGAAGAAGAAGAGAAAGGAAAAAGCGAAGAGCTGGGGGACCATCAGCTCTGATAAGGAAAATTTTCTGAAAAAAAAAAATTCGGAGGCTGGCAGAACCATTCCGCCTGCCCTAAGAGGTTAGACCAGGCACTTAGCCCCAAGACTATGTGGGTACCTGTCCAGCGACTGTTGACGACTTACAATCGCATGTCAATTGGCGGTGTCTTCCGCTTTTGCTACGTTGTACCTACTACGTCAATTCTTCTACTATCACTACTACTCGTTCATACTGTTCGACTCTTCTTTGGCTCAATAGTCAATGGGACGATAAGTTGTCCTTCGGCCTTTATCGTGATGGCCCCTCCGACACCCTCTTCGCACCGCCCTCGCAAGAAGAGAAAGGTTGCGATCTCCCCCGGCTCCAACAATAATTTGATCTTGGATCTGGGCGAGGGAAGCAATCCCCCAGCATTTCCACTGGTCTCATTTTTGTGGGCTGCTCGCGCCGGTGTCTCTCAATGGCTGATTCTCCCACTTGTCCTCATGACCGTTGGCCTGTTCCGATGGGCTGTGAGCTTATGGGGCTACTCCGGTATGCGACGTTGTCTCTCTTTGAAGGTAGTCACAACAATTAATACCTTCTAGGCTTCCATGTTCCGCCGATGCACGGTGATTTCGAGGCACAACGCCATTGGATGGAAATTACCACACATTTGCCTTTGGCGAAGTGGTACATATACGATCTGCAATACTGGGGTCTCGATTATCCACCATTGACCGCATATCACAGCTGGTTACTCGGAAAGATGTATGTTTCTCTATCAAGCATTAATTATAGAATCCTCATGGCCTCCTGCTGACCTGTCGGCCTGTATAGTGGCTCCGCCTTTGATCCAACTTGGTTTGCCTTAGACGCCTCCCGAGGATTCGAGGACCCGCGTTTGAAAGTATTCATGCGCGCCACCGTCGTTGTGTCCGAATACTTCGTGTTCATCCCGGCCGTGGTTAATTTCCTTCGCCGCTACACTCGGATGCAGAGTGTTCATGCATGGTCCGCCTCGATTGCTCTGGTGGCAATTCTCCTTCAGCCAGCGAACATCCTCATCGACCATGGCCATTTCCAATACAACACAGTAATGCTGGGATTGGTGGTTGCGAGCTTGGACGCTATCTTGGCGGGGCGTATGCTCTGGGCTTGCATTTTCTTCGTTGGTGCACTGGGATTCAAGCAGATGGCGTTATACTATGCACCAGTCATGTTCGCCTATCTTCTCGGGGTCTGCACATTCCCTCGGATTAATATCCCCCGCCTTATCAGCATAGCCCTTGTCACATTAGCTTCTTTTGCTTTGCTGTTGGCCCCTCTTATGGTCGGTGCTTCCAATGCCGAAGCTCGAAAGGCATTTGCATCCTCTCCAGTGCCGCCTATGTTGCACGCACTTCCTATTCAGATGAACAAGGACTCCGTTACGTATGGGCTATTGTTCCAACTAACGCAGATCATTCACCGGGTGTTCCCCTTTGCGCGCGGGCTCTTCGAAGACAAAGTTGCGAACGCTTGGTGCGCCATCCACACTTTCTACAAGCTCACCCGCTTTGAGGCTACATTATTACAGCGAGCATCCCTCAGTGCCACATTGGCGTCAATCATTATTCCCTGTGCTATCATATTCCGCCACCCCAGGGCCTCGCTTCTTCTTCCCGCTCTCTCTGCCGTCTCCTGGGGATTTTTCTTGTTCTCTTTCCAGGTTCATGAAAAGAGTGTGCTGCTGCCTCTGCTACCAATGACCCTGCTACTTGCTGGTAACGGTGGACTGAGCAAAGAAACACGTGCCTGGGTGGGCTGGGCCAACATGCTTGGCTCATGGACCATGTACCCCCTTCTTAAGCGCGATGAGCTCCGCGTTCCTTACATAGTCATGACTTTGCTTTGGGCCTATCTTCTCGGTTTGCCTCCCACTTCTTTCGAGACTTACCGAAGTCGGCCATCCCCGGAAGACTCCAATACCCACTTCGAGCCCAGCACTCCCACAACCCTCCTACACTTCGGTTTCTATTTGGCCATGATTGCCTGGCATGTCCTTGAGGCGTTCGTGGCTCCTCCGCCCGGAAAGCCAGATCTGTGGGTGGTCTTAAATGCCCTGATCGGAGCTGGTGGTTTCGGGATTGCCTATATGTGGTGTATGTGGAAACTATATACACAATGTCGCCAAATCAGTCGGCAGGTGACTGAGGAGGAAAGCCAGAAAAAGAAGCAGTGATCCTTTGCCTAGGTAGATGGCTGTATGATGTTCAGTGATACCCCAGATTATGTGATTATCCAAAATGAGGCAGTAGGGCTACTAGCTTATTTCATTAATATGATTGATTCGATTTGGAATTCATTATTCAAGAGTTGAGACGTTGTATTGGGAAGTCACCCCTATCATCTGGAGTGCCAAACTCTAGATTCCAATATGTCACACGAGCGAAAATGCTCTAAAAACAGACAATATCCAAAGAAAACAAAAAGAACTCCCGCCGATGAATGCTATAGTACAATGTTGTATAGTGATAGTACAGCCGGGGCCAAGGTCAGAGACCGAGCCTAGACTTTGAAGCCAAATCCAGCCATGCACGTCTTGTACTGCTCAATCGTGGACTTGCACTCCTGCTCAGGGTTGTCGGACTTGGAGAAGAGCATGCAGTCGTCGCGAGCGGTCTTCTCGGGTTTGCAGACGCAGCAGGGCTATAATGAAAGGCAGGGTCAATCGTTTGTGCTTTTTGGTCCGGCAGTATCGGTTCATACCTTGGGCTTCTCGGACTGAGCGGGCTGAGCGGGCGCTTGCTCGGGGGCAGCGGCGCTTTTCTCTGTAAAGAATTGTGTAAGCGGGAGTCGAGAATCTTTCTCTGATATGTAGAACTGGCGCATTGCGCAAGTATTCGGCCCGGGTAGGTGGAAAGAGATATGGGTATTTACCATTTGAGGAACCGAAGAGCCAGGACATTGTGATGGATATGCAGGTTTACTTGGCGAATATTTTAAGTAAAAGAAAGACAGAAAGAGAGTGTTGAGTACGACGTCGTGAGCAAGTCCTTACAGGTGACCTCCAGGCCTAACACCATCGGACATTATTAATGGCGCGTGCAGCGGTACTGGTCTCTATGCTACGCCGTAGTTATTATTATTATTATTTTTTTTTTTCTTATCAACAAACTTGCCTCTACGGGGTCGCCTCCTTTTCTGCTACACTACAGACTGTTTCGGTTTTTCCTTTCTGTCCTTGGTTCTACTTTGGTCTCCTCATTGCTTGGATATTGTCTGCCATTGACTTCACGGGTACCCTATTTTATTTCATTTCTTTTTCTTATCTCAATATCCCACTTCAACAACTACCCCGCCATGGCCCCTCCAAGATCTTCTCCCTCGAGGGCAAAGTCCTCAAGCTCGACAGTGCAGAGGACATGAATGCGCACATTCAGCCCCTGATTGACAACACCGACTACACTGAAATCCGTCTCGGTGGAAACACCCTGGGCATTGACGCCTCCAAGCGCCTGGCCGAGGTCCTGCAGACTCAAAAGTGCCTCGAAGCTGCCTACCTCGACGACATCTTCACCGGTCGCCTCCTGACGGAAATCCCCACTGCTTTGAACTCGCTCCTTAATGCCATCCTCAAGATCCCAACCGTCCACACCGTGAACCTTAACGACAATGCCTTCGGTCTCCGAACTCAGGCCCCGCTTATCGAATTTCTCTCGCGGCATGTGCCCCTCCGCCACCTCATTTTGAACAACAATGGACTCGGCCCTGCTGCCGGATCTCAGGTCGCCGATGCGCTGTCAAAGCTGGCTGAGCGTAAGGAGGAAGCTCGCAACTGTGGCGAGGAAGTTGCGCTGCTGGAGAGTGTTGTCTGCGGACGGAACCGCTTGGAGAACGGCAGTATGGAGGCGTGGGCTCGAGCCTACAAGGCCCACGCAGCCGGCTTGAAGTCAGTTAAGATGACACAGAACGGCATCCGATCGGAGGGTATCGCCCACTTGTTGACCCAGGGTCTCTACCACGCGCAGTCCCTGGAAGTCCTGGATCTGCAGGACAACACTTTCACCAATGTCGGCTCCACTGCTCTGTCAAATGTCTTGTCTGGCTGGCCATCTCTGCGCGAGCTTGGTGTCGGTGACTGTCTGCTCTCTGCCCGTGGTGGTGTGAAGGTTGCCAAGGCTTTGGCGGAGAACAAGAACCAGAAGCTCCAGACACTGCGTCTGCAGTACAACGAGATGAAGGCGGAAGCTGTCAAGGGCTTCACCCATGCAGCCAAGACTGCGCTTCCCAGCCTCCGTCGCGTCGAGCTCAACGGAAACATCTTCTCCGAGGAAGACCCTAACATCATTGAGCTGCGTGAGCTCTTGGAGGCTCGACAGGAGGAGCACGGTACAGACGAAGACGCCGAGGGTACTTGGGGTGTTGATGAGTTGGATGAACTCGAGGAGGAAGATTCGGAAGAAGAGGAGGAAGAGGAAGAAGAGGAGGAAGAGGAGGAAGAGGCCAAGGCTGAGAAGGACCTTAGGGACGCCGACCTTGTCGAGGAAGAGAAGGTAGCTCAGAAAGATGACAAGGACGTCGATGAGCTGGCCGATGTTCTGGGCAAGGCGGCTATTTAAACCTCTGCAGCTGTTGGACAACTGTCACTTCCATCAGTACCTGCCTTCTATCACGGGCCGGATCATGGATCCAATGCCACGTTGATGTCACCAAGAGCTGAGAAACCCGCGACCTTGTTGTCCTCCGGGCGATGCATGGTCCCTTTATGTGTCCACAGCCACTCACAAGCTTCGGGTATGAGGATCTGACTGACGACGCTTACGCTTTACCTTCAAAAAGACCCCCATTTGTTATACCCCCAATCCACAGTGATAAAATCCTAGCTCTGCACATAATATCCTTTGCTTTGATCCATATTCTGTTTGCATAGCCCTGGTCTCTCCGCCTCTCTTCGGAGGATACACAACCATATAGATGGAATACATATCTGGACAAGCAGGACCATTCAAATAGTCACATGTTTAGGAAATATAGTAATCATAATCAAGTAGGTGCATATATAAAGCTGCATATGTACCGGACAATGCTTAACACCCGAGACCTTTCTCTTTCCGCTTTAGTGCTCACTAAGCATGAACTGAGCATGTCCCATCGAAAAAGGACTGCGTCGTCAGCGGGCTGGCAGGTCGGGATACCCGGGAAAAAGGTCAGGTACGTAAATGGTGACCAGATTGAAGCGGCAAACGAAAACTTGCAGACTGGAAATATTCAGCTGAGCAACGAAGGGAACCACTATGATAGAAAGCTGATCGGCGGCGGCCATGGCAAAGCTGACAGTCGGAGTTCTGGTACGGAGTAGATTGAAGTTACCTCGGGAGCTCAGTATACTGCGCATACTGATGCATACTAATGTAACAGCAGCACGTCTGCAGTTATTAATCTGGCTAAACCCTATACTAGTAGCGTACGCGGCTGTATATACATGCGTACATGTATGTATACGAAACAGGCGTTTCAGGCTAGACGTAATGAAACTGAAATTCCATTACTGTGTAATAGATTCCGTTACTTACCGTATTGTGCTTTCGGCGAGTAACTGGGCCAAGCCCGCAATGGATGGACGTACAGATGAATCAACTTGAAAGATCCACTTTAGAAGAGAGACGAGGAGAGGAAAAAAGAGAGAAAGAGCTGGCAAGTACTAAACTACTAGAAAGGGCAGTTCTGGGCAAAGGCCGCCGCCAACACGTTGCCAACACATCATTTACCTCAAAGGTCTCTTTAAGACCGTTATTGGAGAGGCCTTCATGATAAATGCTCTCACGAGCCATCCCGAGGTGGGAAAACGAAGGTATCCTGAAGCTCTGGCTGAAGCCTTGGAACGGCAACAAGAGGGGAAGGATTTGGATGATTCCAAGATGCATGCCACTGCACGTGTCTCATAGGCTGTACCCATGTGCCTAGGTAGTCTATTCTATTATTCATTCCTACCCTCCTTTCTGAGGTTGGAATTTTTTCGGGCTTATTAAGCTTTGCTGGTTAACTGATCTGATACCATGGAAAAACCAACGTGCCATATATACTTGATGATAGAAAGTCCCACGTGAGTTTCTCTGGAAAAAGAAACGAACCAGTGGAGGGAGAGTGGAATATGACAAAGCAGGCCAGAGCAAACGGTATTTGGTCTAGCCAGTAAAGATGCACACGACAGAGAAAGAGAGGGCAAACAAACTAACGTATTTGACTACCGCCCCATCCCATCCAAAACGCGTAGATTAGTCTAGTCCATTCTTTGTTAATCACCATGCCACTAATTCGTTCTCAAAGCTCTACCAATTAAAAGATTAAGTGGTTAGGCTCCTATTGGCTGTCTAGGCTATTAAGAATAAAGGAATCATCGTTATTTCCGGTCAGTTTCGACTTTCCAAGGTTGGTTCTAACGTCATAGATAGCTAGGTTAGCCAGCCAGCCACCGTATGCTCCCTTCATAGTAAGGTCGGGAAGAGGGCCAAAAAAAGAATCCAAGCAACCCGTGTCAAAGCGGTGTAGGCGCTAATCTAAGTGCATAGCTGAAAGGAGACTAAAAGCTGGTGAAATTAGTAGCAGAAGGCAGGACGGTTTATCGCTCGGCCAAAATACAGCATCGATTGAATGTATACCTATCTAGGGAGGTACCTAGGTACATCTCAGGGTCCCAGATCAGGAACCTTGGAAGATTAGCGTTCCCGTGAAGCGGCCCGCTCCCCAAACTTACCATCTGGGCTGCCCTACAACATACATGTAGGTATGTGCAGTGCGAGATACACAGTCTATTCAGAATGCATTGCGGGGAAAAAAAAACAAAATAAAAATACAAAAATAAAAATAAAAACTTAAATAGAAATAGAAATAGAAAATGAGACTTCACATGCCGTTCAACTGTCATGACTAGTGACCAGACCTCCGGACCTAAGAGACCTAAGAGTACTGCATGGTCACGCTGCCTTGAATCCGCAATACTAAACTCCTCTTCCCCTCGATTTTATTTTCAAATCTCAATCTACTCATCTCTTCACAAAATGAAGGACCAAAGCCGATCAGATGCCGAAAGCTATCCACTTCTCCCCGAACAGTGTTTCTCCCGAACCTGATGGCCAAGGGACCGAGAAGAGCCGAACTTTATATTACTGGGCCCGCTTTCGGCAACCTTCACCCTGCTGGGTCGTCTGTCTTTTCACAATTTACGAGTTGATCTTCGGAGTTTTGGTGGTCCCCGAGTTCAATGCAACCTTTGCCTTGATATGTCACCAGCGCTATTCACCCAGCCAAACCCATGGCGATCGTCCCCGGGATCTTTCCGCAGAACTAGAACAATGTTTCGCCAATACACACGCGCAATCCGATCTTTCACGGTTTCTCATCTATGGCCAAGTGACAGCGGGTCTCCTTTGGTGCCTTTTCGACCCCAATCCTGGGTTCACTATCGGACCGCGTTGGTCGCAAGCCAATCCTCGCCTGTACCGTTATAGGTCCTCTTCTACACGAGATCCTTGTGGCAGTAATCCTACGCCATCCGAACTCGATAGATATGCACTGGCTTCTCGTGGGTTATGCAATGGAAGGTCTTAGCGGGTCGATGATTGCCGCGTCATCGACCTCACAGACTTATATTACCGATCTCACGCCCTCCAGCGCCCGGACACGGTGGTTCAGCTATTTGCAGGCTTCGTTTTCCTTTGCTGGGGCGCTGGGGCCTCTCATTGCCAGCTTGCTTCTGACAATTCCGGATCCCTTCCAATTGATCTATTGGCTTGCTGTAGGCTCTCATCTAACACTCTTGATTTTCATCCTCTTCGCCTTGCCGGAATCGCGCAACCCAGGCTCTAGTGGTTGCCCGGACCTGGACGGAGTAACCTTGGAGCAACCCCCTGGCGAAAGTTATGTCCGCGTATGCCTGACGTCGCTCAAGTCCATCTGGGAATCCAAAGGGTTTCGAAATAAGAATATGATCATTTTGGCTGGGATGGACATGATCATGTTTGGAAATATGATAGGTCTGGCTCCGCTGCAATTAGCATACCCGGCATTCTTGTTCAAGTGGCGACCGACCACGCAAAGCTTCTTCATGTCCATTTCCTACTCATGGAGCGTTTTGGTGCTGGTCGTCTTATTTCCACCGATAATGGCCTGGTTCCGCCGACGGAATAGGAGAGAGGGTGTGCCAAATCTGTCGGCTGCATCCAATTCTGGAGAGTTGGGTGCTATCCAGGTTAACCTAGTGTTACAGATGATAGGCTATATGGGCATCTCGCTGTCACGAGCGCCCAGCCATTTCGTCGTATCGTCTTTCGTAGTTGCATCTACTATATCCATCAACCCTCTGTTGACATCATGCCTCACAGCACATGTGCCTGACTATCAATCAGGGCAATTGTTAGGTGCTTTGAGCTTTCTCCACGCAACTGCTCGAATTGTGATTCCAGCGCTTCTGAATGCTACATTTAGCATGACGATAGGAATTTTCCCGGCGCCTTTATTCATGTTATTATCAATCGTCATTGGGGGGCTGTTTCTCGCCAGTATACACATAGAGAAAAATACACTGTGATAGGCGCCCTGGCCGCAGTTTCTGTGGTTCAATGACAATATCTCTTTTTCCTACCTTGAGCTCCACGCCCGATCTATACATCACCAGTTGAGACAAGTTCGCTCCTCACCAATGCGGTACAGCCACACCAAGCCCGATGATGAGTACCGGTGATCGCACGGCCCAAGCCGCGCAAGTTGTGAGGTAGATCTTCCTCGTGGCCCTTTCCTTGCGCTTCAAGCGCTTTATTATGATAGGGGTTCCCCCGGAAACTACCTCTACTGGACATCACGCGTATGTATCCCTTTCGCCTTGGGGCACTTTTATTTTCCGTTTATTGTCTTTCATTCTTGGCCATTCCAATTTTAACGTAGCTCTACAAATTGTAGGCATCTTGGGTGAATGTGACCTTAGCTTATGACCCATATACCCATATATTCTCTCTTCACCGCTACCTATGTGGTGCATTGTGCATATTACGTGGCTGGCTCAAACAAACGCTGGGTTGGTTCGGTTGGTGACTTCCACGGGCTAGTTACCGATCATTCCCCTCGCCCCTTATAGATCGGTTACGATAGATCACCTCGGAACATGGAGATGACTCGATTTACCCATGTACCCACTTCGGTATGCTTTTGCACATCTCTTACAGGGGCGTCTACAGAGTGTTATCGTTACCCCTCACATAACACAGTAAAACAAAAATATATTGTAGACGAGGCCTGCACTATGTGCAGATACGGCAAAGTACACTGAAAACTTTGACTACATGTATTCATTTTTTCCTCTTGATCTACCTGCCATCGAAGTGAGTCAATCATGAAAACTGACATCGAACAAGACTGCTTCCACCCCCAATATGAACCTACTACGTTGGGTGATAAAGAAAGCGCCACGGTCCAACCGTCAAAATCCATCACAGACAGCGACCCCTCATCGGACGACTGCCAGACAGAGTTGGAAAGACGCAAGAAAATTGAGGGTCGCAAAGATTTTCGCGCCTTGGTTGGAAACGTCTCGTCGTTGTTCCCATTGTGGAAGCAGTTGCTCTTGGGAGTCTCAGTCTTCCGAGCTCATTCGCGACCCTCGGTATGGTCGGAGGCATTATTTCTTCCGTTGGGATCGGGCTAATTGCTACATACGCCAGCTATGAGGTTGGCGCAGTGAAGCTCAAATACCCGGAAGTTGAGCACTATGGAGATATAGGGAGACTCATCCTGGGAGAAAAGGGGTTCTGGATTGTCACGGTGGTTTTCATCTTCTAACTGCTACTCAATGTGGGATCGCATTGTTTGACTGGCATCATTGCCTTGGCTGACATCACACAAAGTGGTGTTTGCACCGTGGTATTCGGATTGGTCTCGGCTTTGATTCTTCTTTTACTTGCCATTCCACCAACATTCGCCGATATTGCTATACTTGGGTACATCGATGTCGCCTCGATCTTCACGGCCATTGGGATCACAATGATTGCAACAGGTGTACAAAGCACTCGAGACAACAACAGTTCACCTGGCTCGGATTGGTCAGCTTGGCCTAAGGAGAATGTCAGCTTCTCAACGGCTATGGTTGCAATGAATAATATTGTTTACGCCTATTCTTTTGCTCCGGTGATACCATCATTTATGAATGAGATGCACACCCCAAAGGACTACACCAAAGCAATATATACACTGGGAGTGATTGAAATTGTTATTTATACCTTGATCGGTTCTCTCGTGTATTTATTTGTGGGCAAAGATGTACAATCCCCTGCCCTACTCTCAGCCGGACCCCTCATGTCGAGGATCGCTTTTGGTGTTGCCCTTCCGGTGGTTTTTATATCCGGATCCATAAACACCAGCATTATTGCTCGCTATATTCATGCATACGTTTATCGCCACTCTGTTGTACGCTATGTGAACACGAAGAAGGGTTGGATAACCTGGATCTCGCTCGTGGCAGTCCTCACATTTGTTTCGTGGATAGTTGCCCAGGCCATTCCGGTATTTTCAATCATATTATCAATCAGCGCGGCCTTGTTCATTTCAGGACTGTGCTTTTACATTCCTCCAATAATGTGGTTTGTCCTTGTCAAAGAAGGAAACTGGTTCTCCCGGTCCAACTTTCAACGAGCCTCCTATAACGGGATTGTCTTTCTGTTCGGCATCGGTGTTCTCGTTTGTGGCATGTATGCCAATGTTGTGAATCTGGTGAGTGATGTGTTGCATGATTGAAAGCCTTCGTTCCCTGCTAACCGCGGCGAATAGATTCAAGAGTCCAGGGACCCCAATTCCAGCCGACCCTTTACATGCTCGAGCATTGCATAAGGGTTCGCCAGAGTTGAACGAGATGATATTGTCGGCAGTGTGCCTTAGGCCAGAACCGCCCTCTCCGCTTTTAGGTAGCTATCTCGCGCTTTTTCCTCTCTTCCCTTCTTCATCTCCATTTTTAGTTATCTGTTACCAAATAGCATAATTGCCTACAGACGAGGTATTCTTCAATTGAGTGATACTCATCTGGTGCCTGATGAGTAAAGATCTCAGCCCACGCCACTTCTGCCGCCGTGCTCGAGCCCCTCTGATCGTGCTGTTTCGGCAGCAATTGGAGGAGATAAGCCCTATCGAGATCGCGATCGCCATGGTTACCCCACCGACACCCAGAAGGGGATAGCTCCTACGGGGGGAGAATGAGTTTATAATGTGGCGTTAGCTGAGGCTCATGCAGGTAATTTATATAAATTTCCGAGAAAGGAAAATTCACCGACGCGATGCATACATATATATGGACCAGCAAGTAAAGAAAAGTTTTTTCCTAAGTGACTAGGCGAAATTGCTGAATTAAATAATTTGTTCTGGCGTCACCTACCCGTGCCGTTTCAGAGTTTTATTCTCAAGATCCTACATAGAATAGGGAAGTTGTATTGTAATGTTTGGATAACTGCCGCCCCTAGAGGCTTTTAAGCATTCAGCCCTACAAACACCGATAGAGATATCGGGATAGGGAGCAGCTACGTATGTCTCTCAAGGCATGAATTTGTTGGCCAATACAACTATTGAACTTCAGGCTCTTCTGTTGTACTGAAACTGTGGTGGTCAGAAATGTATTCCATCAATCTGAGTGTTACCCAGATGTGCAATTTAGTATTTAGATGTATGTATGAAAATCCCGGCCCTGCAGAAACATTCGCAGGTGTGCTATCCTCACGACTTTCACTCTATCAGTTCGTAGCACTGACCAAGTACTCATAATATCGCCATGTTATTTGTCATAGAGGGGGCTTATGAGGCCACGCCGATCACTGCGGTGATGGTTGGAAGCCAAGAGTGTCACACCGCTATTCGATATGATGGTCTAGGTAGACTGTATACATGTATGCTCGGACGATAAAAATACGACCTTGTATGCCAACTTGAAGGGAGTTGTGAGGTCAGCAATTCATCTTATATGAATTTGATACCGAATACCTGACATGGCTGCTGTATGTATTCAATACGTGGCGTAATGAAATATGTATCGGGGTAACTTACCTGGCTTCAAGGGCATGGCAAGAAAACTAGATGGATTATAGTTTGCTAAGTCTTCTTACCAAAATGAAGATCGGAGAAGCCAATGATCAATGCATCACTAGAAAACAGAGAAGGCATCATTACTCGACAGATATTCCAGAAAGTTATTTATCGCAATTATGATGTGATCTGGCCATTCATTCATTGGAAGTAGGGCCTTTAGGCATCTTTAGGGATTCTAGTATAGGTATATTGTTGGGGGAAGTAGCCTTAGCCCAAACTGTCCTTTCTAGTAGTTCAGAGCTTCTCTCTTACACCTCTCCGTCTCTCTACTTAGTCTCAGCAGTAGCCAATACCATTGATATTGCCCACATGTTTAGTACCTTATATTGATGAAAAGGCCACACCAGAAGGAATGGAGAAAGTCTGTGATGCATTCCGAGCGAAGCCCACACAGAGAGAGGGAAGAAAAGAGAAGAAGAGAGAAAGGAAGAGAGAGAGAGAACCAACTATTTTGTCCTTCACCCATTGGTGGCCTCAGGCATATAACAGATATATATGGCTTCTAATTGTTCCAGTGCTGGATTATTGGTCATGTCAGCAGATGTCAGATATTGTGTCGACTCTATGTTGTACTTTCTTCTCGCGTATAATTCTCCGCCACATGCACATCTCGAGGGCTGAATGACATGCTTAGCCATGTGTATACGTCTGACAAGTTGACAGCCACACATAGCGCTATTGGACTTCAGAGTGGCCAAACCTTGCACCAATTATGAAGCCTCCTAAAAGTCCGGGTAATCAAACTGCGGCTGAAAATCCCCAATTATTGGGTTTTGCTTTTTCTATCGGTCGAACAGGTCATTCTATTGGTTGTACTGCCACCATGATCAAAAGCGGATCCAATCCAATCCGAGCACAACATCTGGACTTTCCTGCTGTGGGGGACCCTTTTCGTATAGATTCTATTGGATGGTGTGGCGAGATGCTCGAATCCAAGAACTTTCAGATAAGAAAGGGTGCGAAATCAGCAAGGGATATAGAAGCCTTGTCTCACTAAGTGGATCACGTTCAGCTGAAATCGCTGAAATCGGGAGATCTACCGTCAAACTATAATGTAATTCGCCATCTAACCCAATAGGAAGATGCCGTGCTCCGTATTCTTGCAGTCATTGAAAGGGCTCAGAGAACCCATCAGCTGGTTCTGTCAAGTTTTGAGTTTATTTTTTTTCCCATTCGCCCCTTTCTTTGGCCCCTTCTTGCTGTGCCAAAGATGTTTAACTGAATCTGTCCCGTCTTTGGGTACGGTTGCCGCAGGAAGAATTCCAATACGATATTGTTTGTGAGCGGTATCCAGTTCTCCAAATGACCGGTCAAGATCAGGAGGCACTTGGTGCAAGCCCACAAGATGAAGAATGCATGAATAGGTCGAGTGGTCTCCAGATAGGAAAACTTGCCATCGGATCGCTTCTACTGGGTGAGTTTCTGCTTTTCAACAAGGTGGCCAAATATCGAGTGCTAATTGGAGCTGTATAGCTTGCTTTCTAGCAAATGCGGATGAATCCTTTGTCCTCACCACCGGGAGTGATGTTGCCTCGGCTCTCAATGCATCCAGCTCTGCGGCATGGCTCATCACGGGGTACAACTTGGGCTATATTCTTGCTCTTCCAATGGTAAGCTCCGATCGTCAACATTTAAAACAATAGCTCATCACTGCACTGCAGTACGGGCAAATATGTGATTTGACTGGGCCGAGGAAGGCAATTCTTCTTGCTTTGACGGTATACGGATGTGGCTGCCTCATGACGTGGGTTTCTCCGATCACACCTTGAGTGAGTTCATCCTTTAACAATTTGACAGAGGAGTCTCGCAAAATATCTACTGGGCTGTGGCCGGTCGTCTCATTTCGGGGTTTGGAGGAGCCGGAATGAATGAGCTTGTTTCTGTTATTCTTAACGGTATGTCTTGCTACCTTTGGGGGGTGACATTTGCTAATTCCATCTAAACGACAGAAATCCATAGCTTTGACCGTGTTGCCATGTTACGCTCCTATGTATCTACCGTATCAATTATTGGAGTTACCTGCGGCGCCCCCCTGGGCGCCTTTCTCACAAGCTGGATTGGATGGCAATGGTGAGCATCCACAGACTCTTGCACTCGGTATACTAGATAACCATGATTGCTGATTTCGTCTGATGCCAGGGCTTTCCTGATCCATATTCCATTTGCAATGATTTGCCTTGCCGTCATCTCGCTTTCTCTTTCCCCAACAAAGCCCCCGCCATTCGCCACCTCCAAGTCATCATATGGATCAATTCAAAACTGCAAGGCCTCCGAAGACACCCATCGCAAGTCTTTCGATATTTTGGGCCTCATTTTGCTATTTATATCTATTATCTGTTTCCTCGCCTTTGTGCAACTCACCCAGGCAGAGGGTTTAGAAAACAAGTCAATACTTCTGACTATTTGTGCCGCAGCGTTCGTTGCATGCTCTACGGCCTTCTATCTCAATGAGTCCCTTTGGGCTCAAGAGCCAATGATCCATTTCTCACTATTCAGTCCCAAAAAGCTTGGCCTGATATATAGTGCTCAACTGTTACTCGGCATTGCACAATTTTCTGTGCGTTCTCCCCTTGCTTTCTTATCGGTTCAACTTGTCAGTGACTGATGATTCTCCTTTTGGATCGCAGATGACGCCCATTCTTGGAGACTATTGGGTCAGCGCTCGAGGATTATCTGCCTCACAGGGTGCAATGTGCTGGATACCGGGTACCACCGGGTTTGCAGTCGGTTCATTGGTGACTGGCAAACTAATTCAAAAGTGGGTATTTCAAGATGAGTCCCAGAAAGCTCATCACAATATGGCAGTTTTGCTAACATCAAGTTGGGTCCCAGAACCCATAAATGTGTTCGATGGACGATTGTTGGGTTGGTGATGGCGATCACAAGCTTCGCTCTGATACTTGTCCGATGGACCATTTTTGAACCTCAATTTTTGGAGATACTATACATTTTCCCAGGATATTTCGGCATGGGAATGATCCTATCTTCGCAGTTTGCAGCTTTAGCTGCCGCAAGACCGGAGCAAAATGCCGCTACTTCTGTCACCACGTATTACTTCGCACAGCAACTTGGATTGATGACTGGTATTACCACCGTGAAAGCATTACTTATTAAGGAAATGAGACGTGGCCTGAACGTGACGCTGAGTGGTCAGCCTGGGCGCGCTGGGGTAAGGCTGAGGTTCTCTATTCCATCGCTATGAGGCCATTTTTCACTAATAGCGAGTAGTTGATCGACCAAATCATGAGACACCGGCAGATCAAGGGCTTACTGCCTCCTGCACTTGCAGAACCGGTGCGCATTGTCATCCAAAAATGTTATTTCGTGTCACCAGGTAAGCACTCCAGGGCTCTATTCATCCAGCTTGAATGTGCCAACACCAAACTAACTATTATACTATCATAGCCACTGCACTTGTCTTCTTACTTCTCGCATTTTTCATTGTGCTCAGGCAAAGGGAGATTAAGACCTTTTGAGCGCATAAAGCAGAACGCGACAGCCATGTCCCGCCACGGGCTCGAGGATCTTCCACCCTTTGCAAGTAAGTGATCAGGTACTTGACGCAATCTGATGCGGTACGAGGGTTTCGGAGTATGCCAGGCAGGATGGTGCAAGGACAAGCGTCGCATTGAAGCTTCATGTTATGAGCGAAAGAAAAAAAGTCCGCCCCAAGACTGTTTCATTATTGTATCAGAAAAGTTTGAAAATTGGAAGTCAATTTAATTCATTGTATTTAATATAAAGTTGAAAACCAAGTATCATAGAGATAATTCCGTAAGCTGCACCTGCGCGGCGTCTTCTCTTCATGTCCACCACCTAGGTAATAATTCGGTAATAGCGTCATCCGTTTCGCTTGCTCGTCCATTCCATCCAGTTGCTTGTCCCACTCCTTTGTCATCTCAATGTAAGTGGTCGTGTTCTTTTCGCCCAAGATTTTCTGCAGCTCTTTATCGTCAACCGGAGAGTTGATGCGAGGCAAGGCTATTTCTTTATTGTACCATCCCCAACTCGCAAATTCTCCACCACTCCACAGTTCAGTTGCCACCCTCTCATAAGGGACGTTCAGCGGAAGGCAAAAAGCTATTCTAGACGGAAGATGATTGATGATACCAGCGAAGAATGGTCCAATCTCCGGGGGTGCCGACAAACCAAGAGAGCTGACTGAAATATGCACATGGGCTCCCGTGCCAGCAGGTTTAGGGAATGGTCGTGGGTGCAATGGTGCACGATATCCAAACTCATCTACCATCTTAGAGACGATATCTCAGTCTCGAACAAGAGTATCGACAGCTGCGAAGGGCAATTGCGGCTGGAGGACGAACTCCCATTGCCCACGGGAAAGCTCTGGGTGATACTGCTCGAGCGGAACTTGCTCTTCCTGGAAACTTCTCACGATGGTTTCGATCATAGGCAACAATGGCCACATTTTGAATGTCATTGCGGAACATGTGGTTTACAAAAGCTTCTGCGCCATCCTTATCCTTCCTTCGAAAGAAGACGACCTCGATTTTGTATCCGAACGAGAAGCTCGCAGCTTTCTTCTAAGTGTCCCGCTGTCTTTCAAGGCTCCAAAGCTGGACGTCGATAATACATGCTTCAAATGTTCGGTCTAGTATTCAAATTACAAAATTACAGTTACATACATAACTTACATGTGTAATTTACATTCCTCTATTACCTTACGGTAAACGCACGTATTGCCTCGAAATACTATGTAGCACCTCAGCGTTGAGACCTCCACGACTCCGTAGATGCCTGCATATATGTAGTACCTGCATACAATATATCATATAAGTGCTACTGTATCGGTCGAATGATGCAGGTCTGGGTTTTTGAAAGTCAAAGAGTTACGGTGTCCCATGCTTGGAATGTATCCCACCTCACATACGCATCGATCTAGCCCACTGCTGCCACGTTGACCAGCTCGGGGTCGTCAGCAGCCTCGTCCTACTGTAGGTGAACATGCGAGGTCTAGTTCCACTCCATTGTGAAGTATCAATACATACACTACGGAGTAGCACTTGACGTCGGTCTCGTTTCGTCATGATTTCACCAAGGTACATCGCCTGCGGGATTTAATTCTGGTCGTATCAAATTTCTCCATTGCTTATACAAGTATTCAGTCTGCCAGCTCGATGCGCTTGACACTGACAGCCTTGCGGGCAAAACTTACATCTCCTTCCTGGAGGCAGACAGGCCTATTCTCAACAATGTGGATGTTAGTACATTCTCAAAAATTCGGGACTTGCTTACTGCGTGCAGTTCATTGCTGTGGGTGATATGCGAACCCCTAACACGGCCAGAATTCCAAGTGGCGTCCGGCCTGCTACGTACCATTCGCTGGGGGATCGCGAAAACTTGAACCTGATCAGTTTACCTCTCAACGGCGAGGCAACCGCTACTGTGGAGAGCAATGTGAACGCAATTTTCCGGGTCTTCAAGCGTCAATTCCTTTCCGGGCCCAGCAGCACCAATGCCGAGTATCGCGTCCGGAACCAAGTCATTAAAACAAATCATCTTGCGAAGAACACAAACGCAAACACAGCAATTGATATAAAGCTCTTGCGGCTAAAGCCAACCCTTTTCCAATGGGACCAGATTACGCGACCTGTGCAATTGACCAGTCCTCACCCAGGCGTCGATAGCCTTATATGGAACACAGATGAAAATTATGTCGAACAGGCACTGGCAGAGTATGAAATTGAGGGCGATGTTCGCGGTGTTGGGCTCAGCTTTAAGGATCTTTTGGTGGCCATGGGAGAAATCGCCCAGTCAGGCTTCGGACACGGGGCAGCTGGCATTGTTCGGACGATTGGATCATCCGTCAGTGGCTTCCTGCCCAGAGATTGAGTGATATGTTTCGGAGATCCTTCCCCGGGCAGAATGGGCATCTCGCATAGCTATAGTCGCATCCACTCGGATCTGGCGATTAAGATACCCAAAGTCTCAGCTTCGAACTTGCCGCAGGACTACCGGTCATATATGGAACAGTGATCTATTCCTTGGGTCATATTGCTCGGATTCGCGCTAGTGATACGATGCTGATCCACGCTGCCTCTGGTGGTATTTGGCAGGCTGCGATTCAATACGCAAAGGTGAAGGAAGCTAGGATATTTGTTACTCTGTCAAGCATCAAAAGAAAGAAAGAATTCGTCAAGACTTTTGGAAGTCCTGAAGACCACCTCTTCTCCGGCCGTGACTTGAGCTTCTCGCGAGGAATCAAGCGCATTTCCCCTAGAGGTGTTGATATTATTCTCAACTCACCGAGCGGCAAGGTACTGCGGGAATCTTGGGCTTGCGTTGCGCCATGATTGCAAGGATTGCTTCACTGAGTTCATTCACTGACTTTGGTTGAGAGCATGTGCTCTCAATCATCCAGTAGCATTGAAGACAGGCGTCTAGCCTTTTGCCTTCAGGTAGCACAGTTAGACTCTTTTCATATCATTCTCTTTATGCGTACCATTTTCCGCAAGCTAAAAGAACCTATGGCTGCAGATTGATCACACATGCGTGTGGACTCAGACCTAGGTAGCTCTTCTTAGCTCCTATCTTCTCCATCATCTATCCTCCACTGCGTTAGCCAATATCATTACCTTTGGTTTATGTTATCATCTTTATGAGGAAATAAATATCCGAAAGACAAAGATGGCCGTGCTCTTAAGCCTGTCTACACGTGACGCCTCCATGTCTGCTCGCGGATCGAGGGGTCATACTACCAGGGAGATGGAAGAAACTCTTTCTATTCAAACTAGCAAAGCAAATGCCTTTTATAGGCTGCACAGGATAGGATGATCTCAATGGGGTTCATATACATATGTAAATTGCAAAAAGAATTTCCGAAAATGGAAAGGCTTGGCGCAAACTTCGGACAGCGCAGCTCATCAACTTCCCTTTACCTCGTCGCTTTTGACATATCCCATCTACCATACCTGTCACTTCTGGCGCTTCCATTGCTGTCGCCTTTCCGCTCTCTGTTTTCTTTATAGGTCCCATCTCGCGACTCTATACCGTTGACGCGACCGTGAAATATCCCCAGGTGAGTGCCCACGCAAAACACCCCTCACTACATCTTGTTATTGCGCAAATACCCATTGCTTCTTTGGTGTAATGTGCCTAGCAGCTCCTATTTCATTGTTTCCAAGTTTCTCTGTTTGTTTTTGTTCGAGTTCCCGAGAGCAAATGAAGGAGAAGGTGGACACGTGCAAATTGACAGCGTACCACCTTCTCCCGCATGAGTCTCTATAGCGGGGTATTTTAAAGGCCATGCTTTGTGTGACATCCGGTGAAAGCATGTGTGCTCCATGATATGTGATCCCAAAGGGACAAGTGTGCTTGCCGTGGTTCTGCAGAATGCGCCGGAATCCGGGGCCTACAAAGACCCTGCACTCTAAGCTTTTGAGATGACATGCTGACAGTTGTGGCTTATAGGTGGCCCAGAACTTTCTTACCCGGTCCTCCATTGACCTCGTCAAGCACTCTGATCGTGTTATCCCTCTACCCCGCACAACATGGCCATGGACGCCAAAGAGATTGAAGCTAAGGCCAAGGCCTTGGGCAAGGCCGCGACATCGAACGAGCCTCCAGCCGTGATTCTGGGCCTCCTAAAGGATATCCAAACCGGGGTCCGGGCAACCGAAGACCTCCTCCGACAGACGCGCATCGGAATCATCGTCAACAAGTTCAAGCAAAGCAAGTCTCCGGAAGTCGCGCGGCTCTCCAGCGAGATTGTCTCCAAGTGGCGGACTGAGGTGAACAAGCAGAAGCAGGGTGGTGGTTCGGCAGCCAGTCGGGGCTCGAGCGGCTCTCCGCGACCAGCGCAAAACGGTACAGGGGTGTCCACCCCAGCCGCTGCTACACCCTCCGACAAGGCGTCGAAGCTGTCCGTGCCTCCAGATAAGCGAACCTGGAAGGCAGACGGGGCGGAGATCAATCACACCGGGAATCGAGTGCGGGACAGCTGCACGGGGCTGATGTACGATGGATTGTGTGTTGGGTCGACCGAGCCTCCGAAGGTTGTTCTATCGCGCGCCATTGCAGTGGAGGTTTCCGCCTACAAGTACCTGGGACCGGAGACGAAGGAGGAATACCGCACGAAGATCCGCAGTCTTTTCCAGAACCTGAAGAACAAGTCCAACCCGAAGCTGCGTGTGCGTGTTATCGAGGGAGAGATTACCGCTGATCAATTCGTGCGCATGACGCACGACGAGCTGCGCTCTGTTGAGCAGCGTGAGGCGGATGCCAAGATTCAGAAGGAGAACATGGACAAGGCTATGGTTGCCCAGCAGGAACGCAGTATCAGTAAGAGTTTGCAGTGCGGCAAGTGTGGCCAGCGCAAGGTTACCTACACCGAAGCTCAGACTCGTGCGGCTGATGAACCGATGACCCTGTTCTGTACTTGTCTGCACTGCGGCAAGTCCTGGCGGCAGTGAGCTCGGGGGACGTTCAGGAGCTGCGGGAGCGGAAATGTATTATTCTTGGGACTTGGTGTTTCTTTCTGCTTTCCTTTTCTCTTTTTCGTGTTTTCCTTCTTTTTATCAAGCGTAGGCTGTGAAAGCCGACGCTGGAGTTCTACTGTGGGCCTTTGATTTCTTCCAAAGTTTCTTCCTCTACATCTGTTTCCCTTTCGGGAGCAAAGCTCGTCTGGGCAAATAGAAAACGGTCGTGAGCTATCTACCAAAATCCAGATATCCCAATGATCGATCCCAACCTTTGAAGTCTTACCTCCATAAATAGTTGTTGCGATACTACCTAAACGGTATATGTCGATATCAACAAACACAACGTCATATTTATGTCACCGCCGCCGATATCAGACCTCCAATCCCCCCCAATATCACATCAACACCTCCAAAGCCATCAAGAATTCCTCAACATGACCACACGCCCAGATCTCCTAAAACCAATCCACGCCTTCCTAGAAGCCCTAACAAACCCAAACCCAAAAGACCCCAATCAACTCCTCTCAACCTTCACAACTCTCCCAGAACCTCTAGTCCACGAACACGGTCTCCCGCAACTAGCTCCCTTTCTAGGCCGCCCATTCACCGGCCAGGATGGGATAGCAACTTACTTCGAGCTTCTCTCATCACTGCTGTCTATCAAGAACATGGCCTTCGAGCCCGAGGAGAGCTGGGTGGTTGATACGAGCTGCATGGCTGTTTCGTTACGCGGGACGGCAACGTTCGTCTGGAAGCAGACGCAGCAGGCATGGGACGAGACGTTCGCTTATCGCATTAAGCTTGCTGCTGATGGTGGTGGGTCCGGGGAGACGGGGAGGTTGGCGGTTTGCGAGTATCATGTTTGGGCGGATACTGGGGCTGCTTATCTTGCTAGATGCGGGAGGTTAGGGGATCTAATGGGTGGTGGTGAGGATTTTGAGCCGGAGGAGGGGATCGCGTAAGAAATATAGATCAGCCAAAAGCCAAGATACACCCCGGAGGTAGTGCCAATCATATGGAGAGTTTCATTATTTGGGAGATTTTTGTCTGGTCTACATAGCGTCCAGGTGGTATACGCGTATTCTATACCATGTCTCTGCCGTTCCCGCCACATTATTCTATAAGACCGGGGCAGTCTATCCCTCGAAGACGCTGTGGTTAAGCTCAAACCCTATATCCTTAGCCATATTCTGCATCTGGGCCTCTATATCATCCTCCATACCACCACCCAGATGCAAGAATTGGCGCACCTTGGTGAAATAGAAGAAAATATCACTGCTAAACAGCACGAGACGGAAGATAAAATGGCGACCGATGTTACGGATCTTCTCGGCCAGCGGCAGATCCGGCGACTCGATAAGCGCACGCGAAGCCCAGATACCAGTAATCTTAACACGGTTCACCGGCGAGCCCAGAAACTGGTTATTCCCTTGGACGATACGCAGGTTGCGACCGATGAAGATCAGCTCCTGCGGCCACTTGGTTTCGTCGCCTAGTATATCGCGGATCGCCTTGCGCATCCCCTGCTGCATCTCGTAGTGTCGCTCTGCACGCTCCCGCTTGCTGAGTCCCTTGAGACCGCGCTGTGTAGACATGTCCCCGCCTTTGTAGGGACGCATCAATGTCGCTGACGCGAAGAAGTCCGGGTTATTCACGCCCCAGCCCTTGACAATCTCGCCCAGCGTGCGATTATCGAAGGTGAGGAGGGCTTTCCAGAACCGCGCGTATTCGTGTCGGAATCCCGGTTCCATGTGGATGTACAGACCGTGGTCGATCAGAACCAGCTCTGGCTCTCCGGATGGCTTGCGGCGGATGAAGATATTGCCCGGGTGCGGATCGCAGTGGACGTATCCCCACAGGAACATCTGGGCGGAGAACAGATCTACCATAGTTGTCATCACGTCCTTGAGAGACAGTCCCAGTCCACCGCGGTTGTTGCGGCCTCGCCAGTAAGTGCGGTCCGGCTTGGTTTTCGACGCGCTCGGGTTTCGGTCCGCAGAATTCACCTCTGGCCGGTCAAGCGGTGTACCGTGACAGCCGGGACTTCCCTGGCCCCAGCCGCCGCGCCAGGGCCGCGTGATGGCGTCTTTGTCCCAGAGTCGTACGCCTTCTACCCATTCGGCAGTCATGACGCGCTTCGAGCTCAGTTCGCGATATACACGAGGAATATACACGCGATTGCGCAGGCGAGGTTCAGCGGCTACTAGCTTGGCCATGTTCTCCGAGTTGTCTGCTTCATTCACGAAGTCTGTTTCGAGCGAGAGTCTCTCACTGATATAGGGAACAAGACTGTAGAAGGGGATGTCGAACATCTTGCTGTAGATATAGGTCACGACTCTATAATTTCACTGTTAGCATAATATCCCCTCGCGGCTCGAACTCGGACAACTCACTTGAAAGCCCAGAGATCCCACGCCAATTGCTGCACGATCTCCCGCTTTTGGATCTTGATCGCGACCTCGGTGCCATCCTGCAGACGAGCCCAGTGAATCTGGGCAACACTGGCACTGGCTCGGGCTTTGCGTTCCATCACGCCCTTGTCAGGGGCACCCGTAAACGAGATACCGAATACCTCCTCAGGTGACTTGCCAAAATCCTCACGGATGACTTTCTCAATATCCTTCCAGTCATTCTGAGGCGCATCATCAAACATGCGGGAGAACATTGCCTGGAACTCAGGGGGCAGGATGGCTGATTGCATCGCAATCGCCTGGCCTATCTTCAGGTAGAGGCCGCCATTATGTCTCAGTAGGTCTGACAGCCGTTCTGCGTTGCGGGCGTGCACGGCAGCAATAGAGCTGGCCAGTGGCGGGTGTGGGCGGAAATTGATTTTGTAGTCGAGGGCGACCAAGATGCCGAGGGAAAAGGTCCGGGCTGTCCGGGTCAGCGACGAGGCGTAGAACTGGCTGTCGATGCCGTACGCGACGCCTGTTGCTAGTGAGACGTAAATGATTCGGCGTAACCATTTGATGGTTCGTTTGTATGTTTTTGCTTCCTTTGGTTTGCCCAGGGAGCTTGGTGACGGTGGCACGAAGGGTTGGAATTGGCTTGAATGGACATATCGGTGCGGGCGCCAGATGGAGGGACGGATGCCGGTGGGCCGCAGAGAGCGGAGGAATGTCGCGTGCGCCATATGGGATTGCGGAAAGGCGGATGCCGAATCACTGCATGGCGTTGGAAATCAAATCCAGTGTGATCTGAGGTGAAGGCAAAGTAGTGAGAAGTGTCAAGTGTTAAGTGCCAACTTTCAAGTAAGCCCTGGAGATGTTCGGCCCTGTCGTCATCCGCGGTAGCTCCGCGTGGAGTCGGAGTCGGAGGAATTCAGCAATGGCCATATTATCTACATATACAGGGTGAGGAATGAGACCAGCATATGTATGTGATATTAATTACATGTATAGCACTATTTACGGTTATATCCAGATATCAATCATAATTCATCATGGTCATAAGGCCCCAAACTGTCACACACTTTCGCATAATCCCTCATATTCTGAGGGATCGTAGTATCCCACAGCTCATCGCTCTCCAAGAACCTGAGTTGTTCCTTGCATGATTCGTCCGAGGCCATTGGTATCAGAGCAGGAAGATGTTTGATCGAAGCCTTGAGGAAATTGCGCTTGAAGCAGTTGCCGAACCCAGCCAATGTCTCCGAATCAGAGCAGATATGTACTCCACCACCTAGCATTGGTCCACAGCTTTCCTTGATGCTGAGCGCAACATTGTCGCCCATCTTCAATAAAGCCTCTTCTTTGTGTGGCACATTCATGCGCTGCACCAGGCTGCGAACCGCGGGGACAAAGGTGTTGTTGCGCGTCCATAGATCCCAGTGAGGGACAGTCGGCTGGCATCCAACATCACAGATTTCACTCTGGAATTTATCGAAAAGGTAGCCCGGTCGGCTAACCAGCGCGGAGACGACTTTGAAGCATGAGGTGCCGATTGCTGTGACGGGGGAGAAGAACAGGACGAGGACGAGGAAGACGCGATCGAGGAGAAGGTGCATCATGTGAGATGGAGAAAACGACCTCGGGAGAGGATGAGGAATAGAAGACCGAGATGGAACCCTAGAGATCTTCCAGTTTTTTTGGTCAGGGGAAGAGCTGGAGGTGAGATCTGATTCCCCCGCATTTGTGGAGAACTCGGAACTTCTGTCATCTTTTGATATTCACTGACCAGGTGGGATTCATCTTGAAATGGATTTGGATACTCACCGTGATCCTTTCAGGTATCTCTATTTCCTTTCTCTTGCCCTGAAATCCTCTAACTATAGCTCTAGTGACGACTCTGTGGAAATGCCCATAAACCTAGAAGAGGTGGACTCCCTAGAAGCTATTGTTATCATCGACAATGAGCTGGATCCGCTGTCTCCCCCAGCCCCAGATACCGTTCAAGTCTCGGGAAACCTGGGGGCAATTGCCATGGGCTCAAATCATACGTTGACAGATCGCGGGGATGCCTGCAAGGAATTAAGGCTAGAAGATGTCTGCTGCGCAGCACATGGCTTGTCAATTCTGGTGGTAAGACGATGTTCTACCAGTATACTCTTGGATACGGTTTGGTATTAAGCCTATCATATAGACTGCCACTAAAGGCGGCAAGAAGCACACTATTCTCTTCGATGCTGGTCCTGAAGAGAAAGCTTGGGAGAGAAACGTGAAACGGCTGCGACCAAATCTCTCATCTGTGGAAGTGATTCATCTATCGCATTGGCATCGAGATCACTCCGGTTCGTGATTCTTAATGGAAATGGACACATTGACGCATATCCCTTTGGGCTGTTCTGACTTTTGCGTAGGTGGTCTTCTGCGGGCAATCCGCATGATAAGCGATGCCAAACGAGCCGAGAGTCGCTCTGGGGACCTGGTCGCGGACTTGCACCCAGACCGACCGGTTTACAGAGGCATTGCTCTGCCCAGTCATATCATTTCCCTCGAGGCTGACCCTACCTTTGAGGAGATTGGAGACGCAGGTGCGGTGGTCGATAAGCGGAGCGAACCACACACTGTGCTAGATGACTTCTTTTTGGTCTCTGGGGAGATCCCACGAGTGACGCCGTACGAGACAGGTCTGAAGAATGCAGTGCGATACGACGCTGACGAGAATGACTGGTTCTCTGACGAAGCCATCGTTGATGAGCGTTCTCTCATCTGTAATCTCAAGGGTATATGCATCTTAAAACCGGCACACAGGCTTATTGAACTAACATATTCTTCAGGAAAGGGACTTGTGGTTTTCACTGGATGTAGCCACGCTGGCGTAGTCAACACCACGAAACACGCCATCGAGCTCACCGGTGGAACGGTACCTGTTCACGCCGTTGTCGGTGGATTTCATCTCGCCACCAGCGACGCGGACCAAATACAAGACACAGTAGCAGATCTCAAAGGGCTCGATCCCGCCGTGCTCATGCCGGGTCACTGTTCAGGCTGGCGGGCCAAGTTTGCGATTGAGAAACACATGCCCGGGTCATTGGTACCCTGCACTGTAGGATCAAGAATCACATTCTGATTCGTGTTGTATTAGTTTCGTCTGATACATTGATACTCTTTGAACCCGTTCCTTACAGGCTCATTCTCCACGTGGATTCAGGGTCTTGGTGCGAAACCGCATGGCATGGGTTGCTCGGAGCAACGAGTCTCATCAAGGGGCAATCTCGTCATCGGCTCGGCATAACTTGTTGGTCGGATTCTGGTTCCTGACATCACTCTATCTCCTTGCTGCATTTTCTTGCGATCGGAAGAATGCGGGATGGATGCGGATGACTGTTTCTAGGATTATGATACCTAGGTAGTCAGATGATAATGCTAATAATAATGATACTGAAACAGATACAGTCGAATAGGCGTTGATGCTTGTGAGCCTGGTTATAGCCCAGGTTATGTGACAGTAATGAATGATATATATGATGTGGAAATTTTTAATTTTCAATACACATTCTCAATAAAATATGATATCAAGAAATTTGGAGCCGCATGAGATCTGTAGTTTAATAGTCAGACCTGATATATATATTTATACCCAGCAGCAATTGTGCGCTAGCAACATTTACTTCCTTCCAGTCTATCGGACTCGGTTGTTAGTGATATATAATATCGCATATCTGCTGAAGCAAGTTCAGTATATATGTCCCAGAAAGAATCCAAAGTAGATATCAATTATATCCAATACAGCATCAAATCTTTACTGATCTTACAACCTCGTGTCCAAGTACCATTTCCGTGCACGTTTAGTCCTGTACCCATGTCTAGATAAGTCGAAAACCGCTTCACCATCCACTAGATACAATAGGATACAGTGTAACCTCCAAGGCAGTAACTACACCCAAGGACGCCCGAGGTCAGCTGGACTAATCTTCCACCTCCGTTGTGCTTTGTTCTACAGCCAAGATCCCTTGGAAGTAGATATCTACCGAATCTTCGAGGTACAGCATACAAATATCAAGTAAAACAGTCAGGCGCCGTCTTGGCCGGAGAAAATCCCTCAGCGGCAGAGTCAGCCCAAGCATGGGCATAGCGACCTGAACAAATCTAAATGCGCCCCTGACAGCGCCACGCCCCTCACAGGCGACACCTCCGATAAGAAGCACGTCCCTACATACAACATATGTATATTTCAATTGCTACATACGTACTGATGTGCATGACTCTGTACCCCGTTCACAGTACAAGCATGCACACTGCCCCCGCCAAGACGCAAACACAACAAGCAGTCCTCCGTACCAACACCACCCTTGCGCTTGTTGACTCCCTCTCCTCTCCACCCCGCCCCACGATCGAAGCTGGACTCCATGACCTCACGCCGACTCGATAGAGAAAAAAGGGGCTGGTCAGAGGTCAAATGCTCGCCAAGACGATAATGCGGGAGGAAGGTATGCACGGTGTGGCTTGGCGTCGGTGGACAGGTACAAGATGAGGGCGATCAGCAGATCAAGGGGGGGGAATTCCTAGCATGGTCTTTGGTGCGATAAGGAAAAGATACTTGACATCATTCAATGACTTTATCGCATCGTCCTTGGTATAATAATGTAGACTCATGCCAAGAACATATTTGAATAGTGTCGGTCCTCTTTTTTGGCGCCAAGGTCGATTGTCTGAGGGAGACAGGGATGAGATGCAATCATCGGGATGATTTGCGCATTTATTTTTGAGAGTTGTCGATGATTCCTGGTTAGTTTCCCTTCTCTTTGTGGTAGCTGAACACATGCCCAGGTGTGATCTATGCTATACGCATCACTCCGTATACTCCTCCCTTATGGGGCAGATCGTATTTGACGATGCATGTCATTGAGACTCCGGTTCACATCGGACTATTGATATACCAAGACAATGAGAACAAGGATGTAAGTCGATCATGCATCCCGTTCCGAGTCTCATAAATGGGCAATGCCCAGTGTACATACTGCTTAGCCAAGAAACTCTAGTGAAACAGAGCAGTGAAACTCGAGCACAATTGCCGTCCCCCTCTGTTGTTGGATCTTGGCTTTGTCTGGCTATCGTCGATCATGGAGTTTAATCCCACATTGGTGCTATCGTTGCATTATCCATCCACTCACTGCGACGAATGCTATCTATAGACAGTAACACACACAGCACTCCAGGCAGCATGTCGATCCCCCAGTATCCCCCACGAATCTATCCCTGTTTTGCTTGGCATGTCCGGACAAGGTATCCCAGGACAAGCTCACGGTACCCAGGTATACAGTACATGTAAGACCTTGAACACAATAAAACCACACTGACGGCGTTTGAGTTATAGTATACATATGTATATCCTCGACTCCGCCCCTGAGATTGAAACCAGGCACCGGTAAAAATTGACAATCGGCATTGGGTGACCGGGGAGTTTAACGGTGGCTATGCAGATCTGCCGATGCACGAAGGTGCATACAAAGAGAAATATATATCGTAGCCTAGCAGGCAGTCTTATACCACTTTCTAACAATAGTAACAGAGAATTAAATAGCAAATAGCAACGGCTATACTACATCTCATTCAATCACAGTCACCATCATAGTCTCCGATCCTATCGTGACCACCGCCGATCACTTGTGCCCGAGTGGCAGTGACAGCCAGTCCGAGACGCAATACTGTAACGTTTAATTCGGTCGAAGCAGTCGCTCTGTGTTTCATTGTATCGATATAACACAGCCAAGAGGAATATCAATACTCCATACATACAATTATTGAGTACATCGCTGCAGCACGGGGAGATAGGGAGCGTGTGCATTGTAGACTCGACTGTTTTCGCGTACAGGGTAGTTCGGGATACCTACCCCATAACATCTCTCGCACAAGGCACAGGGGACATACTATTCGACGATGTATTACCCCGGAGCCATACTAAAGAGGGTAATTATTGTGTCAGTTCTGTATGTTGTGCATACTTGCCTTGCGTCACAGGGGAAGAACAACAAAGTGACATAGCATGTCTTTGCATTCAATGTTGATTTGTTATTTCCCAATCTAATGTAGATAGATAGCACAAACCGTTACCGACACCGGACTGTCGCGCCAATCCCAGTAAATAGTGATGTGCAACTGCCGTATATGGGAAAGTAGCAAGCGCGGATAATATCCGTTTTGCTTGATCCCTGAAATAGCACTTGCTAGTCGTGAAGGTTCGCGTCGGGTGTGGGGTGTTTGTTCTCCTGTCGATCACGACCAAAATGGGAAGACTATCTAAACATGCGGTCTGTCTTGGATGGGGTAATCTGGTCTTATGGCTCTGGATTATGACTCAAAGTCGCGTGAGTTGTCTTAGTACAGAGTACTCCGTAGAGGTGTGGGTGTTTGTTTATTGATTGCTTTTTTGGGTATGGCATGGTAGCTATGGATATTGTATGTCATCATTGCTATCATCATTGCTATCCTGGAAAGGCTTAGATGGAATGATTGTGCGTGATCACACGAGCTACCCGGGATAGTATGTTTCTCCGTGCGATCTCCCCGGTCTGTCTTAAACACCGGTCGAAAGACTCGGATTTACAGCATACAGTTATTTCGACCAAATTGTTAAACCCCGAAGCTAGAGACGGACAGACGTTCTGGCCAGGATGTTGGCCATTGTTCGTTTTCGCTTTTCGCTTTTCGCTTTCAGCGGACTGTACTGTACGTATTCGTATTAGGAGCGTGTCCGTAGGTGATTACGAGGATCTGATCGACACAGGGTTTGTATGCAGCCAAGAGAAAGGTGTAACATATACGATTTTGAGTATAATGTATGCACACAATTAAGTTGAAAATAATAGACGTGTAATCAGTAGTGTACTCGTACTTCGTACGGAGTACACAATCGAGCTTGTTGAATAGGGCTGATCAACTAATTTTCGCACTATTACTTGGTGGCGTGCAGACCATAAATTATGAATAAACAAAGAAAAGGACAATTTACCCGGCAAAATGAGGACGACGTCAACCAGAAACGAACAATGAACTGGCAATGAGGCAATTAAAATTCGATATGTACAATATAGGAAGACCACTGGGCAACTTCAACTGAAACTGCGTGCCGAGTTCCCGCGTGCCGCGTCGCCCGAGTCGGAGTTTCGACACGGGATCACCGACACTGGCCGAGGTGCAGACTCGGCCAGAGGCCACACAACACAAGCCAAGACCGGGAGGGGTCCGACAGAATCCTGAGTCTCTGGTCCAATGATATGTCTCGAGTGAGAAGCCTCAATATTCGGGGTATTACCCGCTTAAGGTAAGAATAATTCAAGCCTGAACGGGCAATAGTCTGGAAAGCACAGACACGCGGGGCTGGTTTCCGAGGTACGTACTATGTTGTAGTTATTTATTCCAGGCTTGAATGGACTGTTCAATTCGAATAATACAGAGTACTACGTACTCCGTAGGTGAAAGAGAGATGATAGTCATTTCGCAAGCTATGACCATCCCCCCGAAAAGGCACAGCGTCATTCCTCTCCGATGCCGACTCTGGAGATTACTCCGGACAATATTGGACTCCGCAAGTTGTAAAGAGAGGGATATTGTTACATTGCATTTAGGTTTCAATTTCCATGCGTTAAACACGGGTAGACAAAATATCTCTCGTTTCAAAAGGCTCCAAGATCTCCTGCAAGTGCGGGAACAACATGCCACTATTCCTAAATAGGGCTTGGGGTGAGGTAACCCCGTGCACGGAGTCGACTTGCGCGATATTCAACCCGCGTTTTTGTCTTATTGCTTTTCTCCTCGGCCTTTGTTTCTCCATGGGCAGGGAAATTCTGGGGTGAACAAAGCTGGGCTTGGCGAACCGCACTTTGGCTAATAACAGTTACGGTGGTACTTTTGGTTTCTCGATATATTTATGCAACATCATGATCTATGGATGCACGATGCATGACAAGTGACAAATCAACCAGAGCGTCAGACGAAGGACCTCCGCGGACAGCTGGCAGTTGACTCCGTAGTCAAAAACGTGATAATAATGCGAACCCTTGTCGGTGTGAATAAAATGGGCTAGAAAGCGACAGAAAATGCCTCACGATCTGGGATCGGCAAAAGTCC